GTCGAAGGACGAACGTCGAAGGACGAACGTCGAAGGACGAACGTCGAAGGACGAACGTCGAAGGACGAACGTTGAAGGATGAAAATTCAAAGGCTTCAGGATTAAGGCTGAAGCTCGATCTTTCAGTCTAGCCCTTCCGCAGGGATGGCAAGAGCAAGGTCAGACGGGCTTTAAAGCGGGATAGGGACACTGGCAGAGACAACGTCGTTCCCACATTAACAGACCATAGTGTTTGGTGTTCTTTTGCCTTTTCCAACTGTCTCTTCCGGCCAGTCTCAACTACGGTTACCATGGTTATTGCAATACGGCCTGAAGCTGGATGGCTTGGTGGTATGGTCAAATTGGGTTGGTGGTATAAATATAGTCAGGTAGCGTTCGTTGGCTGTTGGATGGAATACATACCTTAGAATGGGTACAGTGACCTTCTATATTCCACTAAGGTACCTAGGTGAATGAGCAGCTCTACTTAATAGCAGTACCACATCCCAGCGAGGACCCGAGTCGAGTCCGTCTACTTTAGATCCGGTCCTTTACGTGGGCGGTATACCACCAGTACCTACCTAGGTACATAAGGTAGGTAGCGACCACTGGCACCACCGATGAAGAATTGTTAAAACACCAGCCGATGGTTTTCTAGAGTTCCGCTGGCTCGCTGCGCTGCAATCGAATCTTTGCTAGAGCTAGAGAAACTCATCAAGCATTGATTTCGTTATCCAACCAACCTAATCGTATTGTGTCTTCCGTGTCCAAAAAGATCATCACCTGTCGTGATCGCTGTCACTCTCCCCACTACTGTCGCCACTACTACTGCTTCTACTACTGCTTCTACTCCGACTTCCGCTTCTGCTCCCGCTTCTACTGCCGCTCGTGCTGACTTGAAAAGTGTCGCCACGATCAAAATCGCGCCTCTGTCTTCTTCGACCACGAGCGCGACCAAGGGTACTCCCGCCGGTATAGCCGTGGTTCTGCAGAGGTTTCATCGACATGGCGCTCTGGGAATAGACGCCTCCTTGTCCGTCTCTGAGATAATTCCCGCGGTCGGTTTCGTAGTAGTAGTTGGGCCTACCAGCACCACGACCACCATTACCACCAGTATCACCACCGCCGCCGCCACGCATCCTCACATCATCAGAATAGTGGTACTCTTGACCATAGTGGTGACGGTTGTCATCATCATGCTCCATCATGGCCGCCGCCGCCGCCGCTGCTAATCTCTGTTCCTTCCGTCTACTGGCTTCTTGGTGAGCAATCAGCCATTTCTCACTGACTTCCCACCGCCAGCCGTCGCCGGTAGTATTGCAGACGGGCAAGAACCATAAAAGCGGGTTGGGTCCAAACACGTGGCGCAGGTTGCGGCGCCAGCCGAGATCGAATGCGTTGGGCAGTTTTTCGGATTCCCGGTCGTCGAGATACTCAGCGTACCGGTTGCGTTCGCGCTCGGCTTCGATGTTGGAGTAAGTCCGTCGTAGGGCGCGGATGGCTGGTGTATCGTTATTGTTGTTCTTGTTGTTGTGATGAGGATGCTGAGCATGATATTGACGACTACCGGCAGCATAGTCGTTCAGCGGTTGTTGATGTGATGATCCTTCTTCTCGAGTGTGATTGGAATTGTACACACTCGGCACAGGCGACGTATGCTCTTCGCCCTCTTCAAAGCGTGACGCGCCAGGCACGGCGTTGGCATGAAATTCAAGAATCTGCTCGCCCGCCCGTTGCAGTCTCTCTGCAACCCCCTCGGAACTACGTCTGCGATGATTGTGCAATTGTTGCTCTTGCCGATTTCGCTCTACCCGGCTCCTGACGCCGCTGAGGTACCTTGTCTTTTCGAGCTTTTCAATCGTGGTCTGCCCCTTCATACACAGATAGATATGCCACCCCGTAAACCCGGTCAACACCAATCCTATAATCCCCGAAATCACGGCCAGGAGGATGATGTTGACGGGCGCCAAATCGTCCAGATACCCACTTTCCTCGAACATTTCCTTCCACATCCACCAGGCCGAAGCGGCGAAACTGGCCCAGGCAAAGAGGGATATGTAGATCAGAAACAGTACAAAGGCCTTGTAATTGCGGAGACCGAGACAGGTGGACAGCCAAGGACAATGGTGGTCCATCTTCAACACACATCGGCCACATGTCGAGCAGTGGTGTGTCCGGTCTGGTTTGGGTGTGTGACATTTCTTGCAATATCTCGCCGCACCGGTTGAAGACACCGTGATGGTCTGAATGTTGTTGGCGGCCAACCCTGGATGCTCGGACTCCGTGGTCGGTAGGACCGAATAGTTTCCCCTTCCCTTTTTGGATTTGGAGGAGGAGTCCTGTAATGGTGACCCCGGGTCGGTGAAGACCGCAACCGTATACGACAGGTTTGCGAGGGCGTAGAAAATGATTCCTAGGCCGCAAATGCCCTGTATGAGCCACCATGTATGACTAGTTCGTTGGCTTCCGAATCCAATCGACCCAACCACCCACACAGCCCATGTCGATAATCCGTACACAAAGGCAAGTGGAAAGTATGTGGCGACGGTGCAGCACGCGCGTTCGCATTTTCGGGCGCAAGACCGCACTCGTCGGCCGGAGGATGTTGTTGGCGGAGGTGATGGTGAGGGACTCGAGTAGGAAGGCATCAAGATGACCTGACCGCTGCAGTAGGAGGGACAAGATTTTGATGGCCGTTGACGGAGTGGACGACAAACGCTGGCTCAGTCGGGAGCGAAACTCCAGTCGATCGTCATCTCGAGCGGAATGCGGACATTCTTGGATGGCATTCAACGACCGAGACGGGGCGCAGGGTTAATGAGGGAGTGTACAAGAGGACTAGCGAACGACAACAACAAGCGGTATAAATGGCGGGTGTTGAGAGAGTTGCAGGAAGAAAGATCCAAGATGGGTTTCTCGCAGGCTGATGGATGATGACCTGAAACGCGCACTGCAGAAAAGGGTGACGTTCAAGTTGTGGCTGGTGCAGGCTCCAATGTACTGCCAGTGGCGCTCAGCCTCGCCGCCGTTTCTGCTTCAAGAACCCACTCACGGTATGTCGTACTGTCTATTCCAGATCCCGGCCTTTACTCAACGACTTTCGGTATTCACCCTATGCTCTCAGAATTGGATTGACAGATGGGATAATTTCGATCCGGCAAACAGGTCACGGATAGCATGCACCACCCTATTCTGGTGACAATCGAGTCACTTCAAATCAGCATATACAGTATATTCAACCGGAGCTGTCAACTAGCTTTCTACTGAGCTTCGTCCCATCACAGTCTGTCAGACACGGCCCCCAAACAACCGCTCTGCTCAAGCAGCCTTGACAGAAGCATTACCATTCTTCTCACCATTGCTCACAACCGGCTCCCTAACCATGACATCCATCCGCAGCTCTTTCCCCTCCGCTCTCTTCAAATAGATCTGCTTCTTCAGCTCAAAGCCCATCTTACCATAGATGATAAGGTTGACATCATGCGAGCTTTCGAGGTAGCATGGAACTCCTTCAGCATCGGCCTGTAATTCACAGTCATTACCCACTATCACAGGATATCAAAGCCTTCAAGAAACCAGACCTACCATCTTCATAACATAGTCGATCAACCTGCGAGCATATCCCTTTCCCCTTGCTTCAGGTTTAGTGCCGATATAATTGAGATACCAGGACCGATGGTCCCTATCACCCAGCACTTCCTGTTTGGTCCGGTGCAGCAGGGGCAAGAACTCGTCGAAGAACCGAACTTTCCCTTCCTTGGACAACTGGAAATTGAGACGCCACATCCCACTTCGAAGGATGGTGAACCAATCGTCAATGTTCTTGCCTGGCGGTAACCACAATGCAACACAATCGTAGTTGTTGTTCTCACCCACGGCCAAGACCAGTCCATTGAGACAGTGAGCGTAGGTGACATACTCCATTGTCGCTTTGTGCAAGTTAAACCGCTCCTCGTCGGAAAGGTGCATTCGATCGGGCGTGTCGATCGCATATCGCACCACGTCGTCGTGACGAAATGCTTCGGCGAGACAGGCGGCGGCTTCCTTGTACTCGTGCGGAGACACGATGCGGACTCTGACTCCGTCGTTGTTCGAAGTACTAGTACTCGAGCCCAATGCCACTTTGTCCGCGATCGAACTCCGTTTCTCGTGGAGTAGTGCAGCGTCTAATGCTGGAGCGGTAGCGGCAGCAGTAGACAGAGCCATGTTGGACGTTCCGTTCTGATGTTTAGCAGAATGAATGCTAATTCCTCTGTGATTCGATCCCTTCTTCCATTCAGTCTCATGACAAAGTACTGTTGGGCCACCTACCGTTTTGGATCTTTCTGACAGATTCAACCTCGATCGATGGGTCTGGTGAGATCTCCAGTATGGACTGAAGAAAGCTGAGCTCTCGAGACGGTGACGACTCGAGATGGAAAGCGTAGACAAGTACGGGATGCACGTAGATCAACCGACATCAGACTTTGAGCACGGTCTTTGAGGATTCGAGTTCAAAAGGGGGTAGTGTCCGGGTAGGTGACTATATTGGAATTGAATTGTTTGTCTGTCTCTCACAACTTTTGCAGATGCGGGCACGGCGAACAGTACGAAGATGACAAGGCTACCGATGAGCGAGACGCGCAAGAAGCCGTCGAGGTTCAGATCGATGGAGGCACCAGACTCGTCAATGCTGAGAGAGGACTGCAACGCTTGCACAGGGTCTGGAGGGAGCAGGAAAGAGACGAGGCTTTCTCTGGGTCAAGGCCAGGTTTATCAACTCTTCTGGATTCGAGATATGGTCTCAGGACTGGAGCGACGTCGGACGACACGAGTTACGGCGCAGGTCAGTGGTCATGTAGTGTCAGCATCCAGGCAAATCAGAACAATTTCCGACCAAGATGGATTCCCCACGCTATTGATAGATTGCAGTAGGAGCACAGGGTGACGAGTCAGTCCTGTCAAGCATACTAGTAGTGCTGTTGCTCTCGGATGTTGGCGGTAGCGGTCGCGCTGGGAGTGTCTTGCATCTGGTCCACTGAGAGACGAGATAGAGAACAATGAACGAGGACATGTTGATCCTGCTGGAAGGGGGATGGGGGCAGAGTACCGCGTAGAGATGCTTATCAAGGCATAGACCGGACATGACTAACCCACTAAAACTGACTCCCGCATCAGGGCAAGTGAGGCGACTGGGAGTGTGTGGGACAACCTCGGTGATTGGCTGACCGTTGACACAATCTAACTAGCCCTGGCCTAGCACGGTCCTCGTTTACTTATCGTCGGGGTCTCATTCGCCAGCGCGGATCACCGCCGCCTTGTCGTCATCAGGTGCGGGCCTCTCCCCAGATTGTTGTTGCCGGCCAAGTGCCCTGCAGTGTCTGGGGAAACAAACTTGTATGCAATCCCTACCTCATTCACGGATCACCTCGGAGATTCATGTGCGGAAATACTCAATCGCTTCGAGTGACCTCATATACTGCCTCAAAAACTGTAAGTGACATCCGACGAGATGCCGGGGTGTAAATGTGTCATTGTTCGTTTGGAGCTGAGGGCCATGGCAGACATTGGATAAACCGGGGCACCTTATACCTGTATGCTTGCAGAACTGAGCCAAGGAAGTCATGTTGACGAAATCACTGCCGATGCAAGCCTGATGCAGCCTACTAAGTATGTTCCACGAACTCGATACCTCCAGTCACTTTCCAACATCATTTTGCCTCTTCAACATGAATGGCTTCAATGTCTCCCTTGGCATGCTGTGCCGCCACGCCTATATCCTCCACACCACCAAAGTTCGTCACGCCAAAGAGTTCATCCATTCGTTCGAGGGTCAGCTTTATCGAGGGGTCAGCACATCATCAATTTATAGCGCAAGGGAAGTTTGCGCGTGGAGAACTTACCCCTTTCGTTTCCGGTACGAGGAAGAAGGCTCCCACACCAATGGTGAAGCAGAACGATCCGTAGATGAAGTAAGTCCCGTAACCACCGGCACCCACGGTATCCAACATGACGGGGGTCGCCCTTGCGACCACCAGATTGAATACCCATTGCGTTGCAGCCGCATAGGAAACAGTCAATCCTCGGAGCCGCTGGGAGGAGATCTCGGAGGACAGCATCCAACAAACCGGTCCTGACCGAATATTAGCTTCTGGTACGCTCGGAAGTCCTGGTCAAACTTACCCCAGCCAAATTGAAAGGCAGCAGCAAAGAGATAGACCATGACCAAAGCAGCATATCCGGCACTCGATATCGCCGCCCCAGTCTTTGGTGGATCGAACCGGACATAGAAGCCCAGGTAGAACATGCAGAACCACATGAACAGGCCCGTCCAGACCAGCGACAGCTTCCGCCCAAGAGTGTCCGCGAGGAAAACGATGAAGATGGCGCAAGAGCACATCTTGACGATTCCATAGACCCCGGTTGCGAAAAGGCTGTTGGTGTTCCCAGTGACGCCCAAATCTTTGCCCCAATTAGCTCAGCTTTGCAATCGCTTCTATCTGGGTTTCTTACCGGTAAAGATAGTGGGAGCATAATAATTGATCGCATTGGTTCCGGTCATTTGTTGTGCAATCATGAGGCCAATGACCATTATCGACCGCCGTCGATTTCCCGGAATGGTCCACGCCTCTTTCGTCAGAGCCCAATAGCCGTTTCCGGCAAGTCGAGACTTTTCGGCATCGAGTTGGGTTTTCATCTCAAGAAGTTCCGCCTGTACGTAAGGGTGGGTGGAAGGCAGTTGGCGGACCGTAGACAGAACGCTGGATGCTTTGTCCCAATTATCCTTGGAAGCGAGCCATCTGGGACTTTCGGGACAGAACAGGATGGAGATGAAGAGGAGAAGAGGCGGGAGAGACTGCATTGACAGCGGAACCATCCATGTTGCATGTCCCTTCAAGTGAAGCAGACTCCCGTAGTTGATGAAGAATGCGACCATTGCACCCATCGTCTCGAAGAGCTGGTAGAAGCCGACCAGGAGCCCTCGAATGCCACGTGGAGAGTTCTCTGCCACGTAGGTTGGTGCAAGCATGGTGGCTCCTCCAAGCCCTAACCCTTCCACGAAGCTGTCATCTGTTAGATCGCATTGCTCGCAAGTTGCGCTCCATGCCTCAAAACATACCGTCCAATGTAAAAGCAAACCAGGCTACCATAGGAGAGTGCTTGTAGAAGACCGCCGATGAATGCAAAGACCGAGATGACAAGGATACTGAGTCGGCGGCCCTGCCAGTCCGACAAGGGATTTGCAGCTAGAGCACCGACTATGGCTCCAGCTTGCATAACGGAGACCAAGTTCGCGGATAAATTGGACGCTCCGATCTTGCTTAAGTGCGTGAGGCCAAATTCACTGGAACTTTATCAGCGACCGATCCCAAGTGTCGAATTTCGATCCCATATGCACATACTCTTTGAAGTCAGGAAGCGTCAGCACACCGCCGATGATGCCTATGTCCATTCCGAAAAGCGTTCCCCCGAAACAAGCCTGGAGTATCTTAGTAAAAAAGACAGGTCAACATGCTCAGATTTTCCGTACTGCGGCCGCAAGTGCAAACACCTGATAGTGCAATGTCAGTACAGCTCCCAGTGCTCGAGGTCGATGGTACTCACTCGCCAATTGTACACCTCGGGCGGGTCGACCTTGACGGCACTATTGTGCACGATTCTCCTGATGAACGACATGACTATAACAGTGCCAGCAACGTCGCGAAAACGCAGGTGGAAAGGTTAAACAATGCACGCCGAGTAACTCAACAGGCGCGACGTGCGGCAATGAATTGAATATAAAGCAGATAATCAGCCGGCAACCACTCACCTGCCACATGCCCGTCGGATATATTCCCAAAAGACTGAGCTCCCCTGTACCGTGTCAGGCGATCTCCAGCGGCGACTCTGACAGATGAACAGGGTCATCGTCCTGGCTTGCATCTGCGAAGTATTGGCCCGGCATATCTCCGCTGTTGGCCAACGGAGGCCGGAGGACTGCCGAATGCCGTATAGCAAGAAGCCTTGGCTTTGATGGTAGCAGATGCCTTCCAAGGTTGTCAAGGACACGTCGAAGCCAGAGTAACCCAAGCATCAGCCAAGGAGAGGTTTAGAGGTGCAAGCTTTCGAAGATGCTTTCGTGTGGAGCTCCTGTGTTGCGCCGATCTTCCGCAACCCCAGAGTCTTCTGCAATTGCCATATCCTGTAGACAGTGGAGGAGAGGCGATGGCGCCCGTGCAACAAGGGTAGTCGAGCTCTTTCAGCCTGAATTAGCTCGTAGCGCAAACCCTTGTCGTGCGGAGGCTGCTGACACCCAACCACGGTTGAGTGACGCCGCTGCCAACGCAACACAAACCTGCTTGTTCGGTGGATTGATCTCCCGAATGATTTGGGCCATGGGAGCATGTGTTGATTGCCATTTGTCTACCGCCCAGGGTTACACTCGCATTGAATAAAAGGCTGCGGGCATAGGTGGGCAGAGCAGATCGGTAGGACCAGAATCGATTCACCCAGTAGGTGCCAGTGGTACTGGAATGACTGCTCCACCCTAATTGTTCTTCTGGTCCCAATACTCGACCTTTGACGCGATTTTGACCGCTATCATTTCCGCCCGCTGAAGAGCCCCGAGTCTTCGTCTTTGGCTCGGAGTCTGGAAAGCAAATACAAGCGAATCGCCGTGTGTTGAAAGTCCTTCTTTGAACTGCTTATTTGGTAGCCTGTCGCTGGAGGTGCAGCGCTACAACGTGCGCTCTCAGGGACCTCCAGGGGACTTGCTCTCAAGCTAGGGCCGCCTCGCTTTCCCTTGTTGGCCAGGAAGGGGGAATATCCTCATGAAGCATAACGCATACTGTATACAACTGTACAATGTACGGGTGGACTAGGAACATGTTCCACTGCGGAGAACTTGTTATAAGCCTTTGGAACACCAACTACGTTGCTTCAACATATAGACATGTCTCCGAGTGCCCCTGATCAATATTTGGCCCGCCTCAGTGAGGACCGGCGAAATTTGCTTCAGTCAAACCAAATCCTTTCTGGGAAGGTAGACTTGGAGTGTGACAATGATCATACCCTACTATGTACAGAGCGGCGAACCGCCTGAATGGGGGACTCGAATAGTCCTTGAAAGTAGAACTGAGAGAATAGATTCCACACTGGCACCATAGGCGCCATGATCGACGACTTAAATGGTATCTGACTCGGCAGAAGGCATCGAATTTGATATGCATGTTTGAGAACGAGGGTTTGACGACTCGGAATGTACAGTAGCAACAGTACGATGCTTACAGGCAGGGCGAGGGAAGGCGCGTTGGTCTTCAGCTGGGCTTAGAAACCCTACCTAGGCAGCCTCTTAAGCCATCCCGAGCACCAACTCACCCCCAAACTCCAACCCCGGAGGGGTGAGGCTCCCCAGGCTCTGCATAGGTAGTAAACGAGAGCCTCAGGCATGGCTGACGGGCTAAGACACCTTACGGGCACCTACGGGCAAGTTGAACTTGAAGTGTTGCTGACTGGAGGCAACGCAAGTCGCAAGTCAGCCAAAGCTGGAAGGCGGGAACCCTGGACAGTGTTCTCAGCAGTGATGGCGACGGTCCGGTACTCCCTATATCAACTTGCCTTGGCTGACAGGCGGAGTTCTGTAGGTGGTTGTGGGTACCCGCAGGAAGAGCCTGAAAAGCATATCTTGACGTCTGACCTCAACTGGAACTCCTTCTAGGTACGACTTGCGGCGACTCCTCCGACCACGATACCCGTATCGCTCGACACCCCCGTCTGCCTCATGCTGGCTTTTCTCCTGGCATTGCGGCCCTCCTGTCTCTGTCGAGCAATGGCTGCGTCCGAGCCGCCGCATCATAGCCCAGCACACTTCATGAGAATGGAATACCACCGCATGTCAAAATAAAAGAAAAGGATATTCGATACCACAATTTCGTGTAATCACGTTATGGTGGGCGCACGTCACATTCTGACATACTACTCCAAATTCCCACGAGCCTTGCCGTGAACACTTTGACTGCAGCAGTAACTCGGGGCCGTTTTCAAGGACTATCTTTCAACCGCCACAAACCTGGACCGCCTAGGTCCCCCGCGACCTTGCCCAGTCAAGATTGGTACGCCTGGAAAGCGCTTGTCGTGCAGAATGCACCCCTACGACCAACTGCGACTTGTCATGCTCAGCTTCCTTCACCTCAACCCTTTTCATTTATTTCTCCTGATGTTTGACTTTGCTCCAGTTGGGCAGAATCCCTCCTCTTCTCTTTGCCCTTCGAGTCAAACTCCGTTTGACTCGGAGGAGACTAAGGCAGGGCAGGGCGGTTCACGAGAATTATGCCTCCAGTTAGCAGGCCAGTCGGCCGCGAGGGGCGAGCCCATGTCTCCCTTACCTGCACATCTTCTTCAGCAACGGGGATACTTTGCCCCGTAACCAGGTGTATTCAGAGCGCCAGACATGAAACCCCATTTACTGTCGCAGGTTCTGTCTCTCATGAACCTCGACCCGACCCTCGATACTCTCAAGATCCGGCCTGTAAGAAGGGGTAAGTAACCGCTGGCAGGGTGGTTGTACAGACTGAAATAGCCTGACCGTGAGCCTTCTTAAAACCTTTCGAGGACCGCTACGTTTCAGAATCCCAGCACTGCCTTGGTACTATTTCCACCTACTAATGCTACTAAATGCCGAACATGCCTTTGTTTCTGATGGCTCCTCCGCCTTTGGTGTCTGCAGCACTGTTGCAACTCTTTCCTCCATTATGAGTCACTTTCGACGACGTATCTTGGGTCGAGGCAATAACGAAGAAGAGACACAGCCACAGCTGCAGGCACAGCCTGATGCGGATGAGCCATGGGGCTTTCAGATCGTACATGAAGGCACAGATCCTTTGGTTGAGTGAGTCAGCATACTAGTATAGCCCGGTACAGTTCTGACCTCATCTTTCCGAAGCATCATTGCCATACACGGAGTGAACGGGCACCGTGAGAAGACTTGGACTCACGAAAATGGAACGTTCTGGTTGAGAGACCTGCTCGCCAAGGAGCCGTCATTCTCACGTACTAGGATTATGACATACGGCTACAACAGCAGAACGCATGCACGCAATGGTGTGGCGTCACTACAAACTCTCCCAGGCTACTCGCAGGATTTTTTGCAGCATCTGGCCGATCAGCGAGAGGGTGAAGGGGTACGAGTGATCCTCTATCCTTGATGATTTGCTGCTCACATGTTCTAGATTATTCGTCGGCCCATATTCTTCGTGGTGCACAGCCTTGGTGGCATTGTACTCAAGAGTGTAAGAATGATTCAAGTCCACATCCTTTTTGCCACTGATAATGGTAGGCCCTGGTGGATGCGAACCTCTCGGACAAGAGCGAAGTCAAGAAAGGAATCAAACTGTCCACCTTTGGTATTCTGTTCCTCGGCACACCGCATGAGGGTAGTAATGCGGTTCCTTTGGGACTTCACGCTCTCCGAATCGCCGGGTTTTACTACAGCATCAATGACAGCGCAGTCAAGGAACTAGGAGCGCACTCACAGTGGCTTGAGCACCAGACAAATCAATTCAACACGATCCGTCATAGCTTCCGGATCCGGAACTGCTATGAAACCATGGAAACACGTCTTGGACGTGGACCCTCTCTTGTGGCATGTGCTATGTACCGGTAGCGTTCAGTCTGGGCGGAGAAGCTGACCTGTCCTAGATCGTGCCAAAATGGTCTGCTGCGCCCCCTGCGTGGGATACCGAAGCGGTTGGGATCAATAGGAATCACATCACCCTAACAAAATTCACCTCAACCGGTGACCAGGCATATCAGAGAATCAGAGACGTCTTAATGCTGATGACGCGTGATGCTGAGGCCACGGTCAAAAGGAACTGGGACGAGTGGAGCGCATCGCAAGCAGCTCAGAGTACGTAATAGAAGGGAGTTCAAGGCGCGGACTTACTCTGTCTAGACCAACGACCCGCGGAAACCATTCAAGATTTGGATGCCCTTGTAACGAGCACCAAGTTCGATCTCAGATCCAACTTACCCCTCAAGAATGAATCGTTCATAGGCCGTGTGCAAGAACGCACCGCCTTGCGACATAAGCTTGCTGCACCCAGCTCAAATCGACTGATGGTGCTCTTCGGACCAGGGGGCGTGGGGAAAACTCAACTGGCTCTCAAGTATTGCTGGGACTACAAATCAGACTACTCGACAGTGCTTTGGTTCAACGCTGCCAATCTCAACGCCATCCAAGCGAGCTTTATGGTGCTGGCGAACAGGATCATTGCCTTCTACAAAAGGCACTCCGTGCCGCTTGCACTGATCGTCCAGTATCTCGAGCTCGAAGGGTTGGTCCAGCACGATGGCACCGTGGTCGCGGAGGGTGAGGGTGCCTTCGATCGCATCGCGGACGCAGTCAATCTGTGGCTAGATATCGAGGGTAACCATCAATGGCTTGCAGTTTTTGACAATTATGAGCCGGAAGATTTCCCTGCCGCCTGCCGTATCGAAAGATACCTCCCAAAGGCACGACTGGGGACTATTGTGATTACGACCCGACGTCGGAACCCCATCAAGAACGGTAGGATGATGGAAATATCTTGTTTTTCTGGAGACGAGAGCCTGCAACTTCTCCTCTGTCGTTGCCAAAAAGACGGCGACGATCTTTCAGAGGAAGAAAGTAAGTACTGTAGCTACACCCTTCAAATGATTATCTGACGGTTATGAGAGGAGAGCGCGCCATTCAGATCACAGAGGAGCTGGGTCAATTTCCACTTGCAATTGACCAGGCTGGAGCGTACATTTCTCATGAGGACATATTATTTGCGTCATATCTGGAACTCTACCGGAAGAACAACAAGTATTTGTTGCAAAAGAAAGATCTGACACTCGACCCTCAATACAACGAGTGCGTCTTCACTACATGGGAGACGTCATATCGACTCTTGGAAAAGAGGAACCAAGAAGCTGCAGAACTCCTGGCTCTGTGTTCCTTTTTCTTCAATGTTGACATACCAGAGCGAATATTCCAGGGCGGCCTTATCAAGACCGGTGAGATTACTCCACAAGAATCCACATGAGAGACTGCTAATCGATGGGTATAGAGCAGCAAGTAAAGGACCTGTTCTCAGAGATCCACTCTTTCAGCCTTATTCGGAGACATCACGACGATAGCTACTCGATTCACACGCTCATACACACCTGGGCCCGTCAGCGACTTGACCTGCATACGCAACGGATGTCGGTGCAGCGATGCGTGGAGATCCTAACTAGAGGTCTGCTCGTTGACAGCAATTTTGGCTGGACTACAACCGACGATGTGGCCTTCCGAGGGCGAATCCGCCTTCACGCCCTCACAGTTCTGGACTACACTATGCAGTGGGACGAGAGTGATCTGGATCCAGAAGGACTACAACACATTGGGTATCTTTCCGACGTGTACTACAAGTATGACGATGCAGAACGATTCTACAAGTTGGCTTTGGATGCCAGTGGCTGGGACCGGGACGACCAGGTGCAAAGTACGCCCGATCCAAAAAAGGTATATATGCTCGTTCAGCAGCTTGCAAGGATATATCTTTGGCAAGCGCGCCCAGCTTTGGCGATTGCACTGTATCGGCAGTATCTGAAGACTAAGGCCGACCATTCCGACTTGAAAACTGCCATGATCACGATCGATCTCGCAATGGCAGCCCGTTTCACTTACCAATGGGAGGAAGCAGAGAGACAATACAGGAGAAGCATTGTGCTGCTGGAGAAGCTCTTTGGCCCAAGAAGTGCCGAGGTCCTGGGAGCACGGAGCTGCTTGGGATGTCCATTGGCTTGTATGGATCGACTCGACGAAGCCATGGATGAGTGTCAGTACGCGCTCGACCAACTGATCGAGGTCGCTGGAATTGAAAATCCGCACACCCTAGGAGCTTTTACGAATCTCGCACTATGTTACGTCCATCGTGGCGACGACGATCGGGCGCTCCCATTGTTCGAAGAAGCGGCCGAGCTTGGAAGGCGGGTATTCGGGCCCGAGCATCCCTGGACAGTTAGCGCATCGTACGAGTCTGCCAAAGTTTGTTGTCGTATGGCGCGAACGGAGGAGGCGAAAACTATTCTTACCAGCGTCGTTGCTGCATGGGAAAAGACCCTGGGACCCTTTCATATCGATACGGTCGAGGCAATGACAGATTTAGCTGACACATACCGCAGAACTGGTCGAAGTGCAGAGGCAGGTGGTCTCTACGAGAAGACGTTGAAGGCAGCAAATAATGACCATTATCGCACTGTGTCGACTGATTGGCGGCGACGAGATGTGATCGACTATATCCAGGAAATGCTGGAAGCTGGCTGTGATGAGAACAAGGAGAGTCGACAAGAGCTGCTGTTGAAGCCCATCAGAACCAACACAAAGTAAGACAACATAGTAACATACGGCTTAAGTTCGTCGTCAGTCTATCCTAGCTAAAAAGAACGGAGTTCATTGTCCATTGCAATCTATCCACAGAAGTCGCATCTGTAGAAAGACGACATGTCTGGCGCATCATGGTCATAGAAAAAGCTCCACAGGTATGGGTATTAAACCTAACACCGTCCTTTTTTCGTACATCATACAAGCTCTGTCAGCTACTGTAATAAGCTCAGACCTCCAATGGCGCCCAAGTGTTATCATCAACCGTCGTGAAAATAACACCAATGGCCAAGAGTTCTTCAGCCCCCTTATACACATCATTGACATTCATGCCCATCTGCGACGCGAGCATCTGGACATGCAGACCCTCGTTGCTCTGCGCAGTGTTTTTGAGTGTATTATACACCCGTCGAGCAAGTGGTGAGACGTTCGGAAGTGCACTATCGGTAGCGCTAGCGAATTCCTGGTGTGTGACACCCGCCGCTCCATTTGTACCACCAACAACACCCTTCTGTCCGTTCTGTTGCGGCGGTCCTCTCGTGAAAAACAAATGCACCGCCGTCGCCTCGAGCAAATGGTAGTTGATCTCGTTGTAATCTGTGATCGGACGAATGATATGTGCCCCGATATGTCGTTTGTTGTGGAACGCTTTCAGTCTCCCCCATACGCGACAGTATGCGTCTTCGACGAGTCTTGGTTTCCCGGACTCGATTCCGTCCATTTTGTCTGCGTTCATGTTCATAGCGGCGTCGCTGTCGATCCATTGTTTGACTTCGGCTATCCCTGTCCCGTCGTCGATGGTGTATGTGATGTTTGTGGGTTGTGTATTGATGCTTCGGATCTGGCCAACGAATGTTACCTGTGGGAAAGGGAATGTTAGATGATTGTGGATTGGTTTGGTTGGGGGTTTGAATGGGTTGTATGTACTTACTTGACCGAGCGCCTCCCCGTCTACTGTAAAGTCGGCGTCGGGGTGTGGTTGTTGCGCATCTTTGATCTGTTTGATGGTGACGGGACGGATGGTTTCCTTTCCAAAGCCGCCCTGGGGTTCAACATCAGCTTGTGTCTTTTTTTTCGCCTATCTGTTCATCCGCCTACTCTTCCGGCCGCTGGACTGCTTTGAGGCTCTCCTGCCACGAAGCCGCCACCGTCTGCGGCTCTGTTTGCGCCGTATGAGGTCGAGTATTGGTTGTTGTAGCCGTATTCTGACATAATTAGTACTGCACTGTGTGTATCGATCTGTTAGAAATGAGGTCTACGAACCCATTTTGTTGGTTGAGTTGGCAGAGGAGAGGTTGGGTTCTGTTTCTTCAAGCGTGTGCCTGGTGGTGGTAAATCATGGAGGGATGAATGTTTTTGTTCATGAGGCAGACGCGTCGGGCCTGCAGTGGTGAGACGCGTTAAGTGGTTTTCCCTGCGGTCCCCGCTACTAGTACTCCTATGTAATAGTTGGTACTGCGGGTCGTTCGTGCCCCTCGCGCAAGGCTGCTGCAGAAACAAAATTTTTGGAGACGCCGTGATTTTCGGGCGCAGGCAAAAAGTTACAGTACGAGTTAAGTCGATGTGACCATCAGCAATTTTCAACATTGACGAAGGGTGCACAATGGATGGGTTTGCGAAACACATAACCTAGACGTTCTAAATCATACAGCAGCCCCCGCGCAGCCTGTTACTATCATGGCTCCACGGGCGGCTTCTCCTGCACGCTCCGAGAATGAATTCGATATCGCAGGCGCGTTGTTCGGAGGCGACGATGTGGACTCCGACGCCCCTCAGTCCAGTGGTCTTAATGGAGATAGAGGCTTACCGAACGGTGATCTGGATGTCATGGCAGACGAGTCCGGGCTCGACGATGAAACCATCATTGCAGCGCAACTAGCGGCATCGAATCGAAAAGGCGCCAACCTCAAGGGCCGGACGGTGAAGAAAGGCGGCGGTTTCCAGGCCATGGGACTGAATGCCAACTTGCTCAAAGCCATTACAAGAAAAGGATTTTCCGTCCCGACGCCGATTCAGCGCAAGACTATACCTCTCCTCCTCAATGACAAGGATGTGGTGGGAATGGCTCGGACTGGATCAGGCAAGACGGCGGCCTTTGTCATTCCCATGATCGAGAAACTCAAGGCTCACAGCTCCAAAGTCGGAGCAAGAGCTTTGATCATGTCTCCTTCAAGAGAACTGGCACTACAAACGTTGCAGGTGGTCAAGGAGCTTGGAAAGGGAACAGATCTCAGGTCGATTCTGCTTGTTGGTGGAGACAGTCTGGAACAGCAATTCTCTGCTATGGCTAACAACCCTGACATTATCATTGCGACGCCTGGTCGGTTTCTCCATTTAAAAGTCGAGATGAGTTTGGACCTGTCGAGCATGAAGTATGTCGTCTTCGATGAGGCCGATCGACTCTTCGAAATGGGTTTCGCCGCTCAGTTGACTGAGATTCTGCATGCGTTACCGGCGTCCCGGCAAACGCTGCTTTTCTCTGCGACTCTGCCCAAATCACTGGTGGAATTTGCTCGCGCCGGTTTACAGGAGCCAGTGCTGGTCCGTCTGGACGCCGACAGCAAGATCTCGCCGGATCTACAGAGTGCGTTCTTTACCTTGAAATCTTCCGAGAAGGAGGGTGCACTGTTACATCTACTTCAAGATATCATCAAGGTTCCAACGCGCTCCCAATTGATCTCATCTGCGACTCGCACAGACGACGCCAAACCGGGCAAGAAGAGGAAGAGACCCGATGCGGAAGAGAAGAAGGGCGCCGCCGGTTCCGATCCCTATTCAACCATTGTCTTCGCTGCAACAAAGCACCATGTCGAATACCTTGCACAACTCCTTCGGCTGGCTGGGTACGCCGTGTCTTACGTGTACGGTTCTCTGGACCAAACGGCTCGAAAGACACAGGTCCATGCTTTTCGTACTGGTCAGACCAATATCTTGGTGGTGACCGATGTTGCTGCTCGAGGTATAGATATTCCGGTGCTGGCCAACGTCATCAACTACGACTTTCCCTCGCAACCAAAAATTTACGTCCACCGTGTCGGTCGAACGGCGAGAGCGGGCCAAAAGGGGTGGAGTTACAGTCTGGTTCGAGACGTCGATGCTCCGTATCTTTTGGACTTACAATTGTTTCTTGGCCGCAAACTGATCGTTGGCCGTGCCAACACTGCTGATGTCAACTTTGCCCAGGACGTCGTTGTCGGAACCTTCCGCCGAGACGAATTACAAACTAATTGTGAGTGGGTGACGAAATCCCTCGAAAGCGACGCGGACCTGTCGGCTCTCCGCTCCGTTGCCGCCAAAGGTGAAAAACTGTACCAACGTACACGGAACTCTGCTTCATCAGAGAGCGCCAAAAGGTCGAAACAACTCGTCACTGCTCAGTCCTGGTCGGAATTGCATGCCTTGTTCAACGACCAAGCCGACGATCTGGAAGCAGAAAGAGAGAAAATGTTGGCACGGGTAGGAGGATTCCGACCACAAGAATCCATCTTTGAAATCGGTGCTCGCCGCGGCGGCCGCAAGAATAACGAGGATGCCGTAGATGCCATTAGGAAGATCCGTACCGGGTTGGAGCACCGAAAACAAAAGTCCCAGGACGCCGCGCAGGCGCAAAAGGAGGCATTTGATGAAGGTGATGCCTACGTTGAGTCAGCAGGCCGGCAGGGAGTTGGACACGAGGCCGAGTCGGAAGAAGTTGATTTCAACGACGCCATGTCTACAGCCTCGTCCTCGGAGCTGGAAGTCACCTTTTCCGAACCACATTCGAAAAAGCAAAAATCAAACAACAACCACTTGGAGAGTAACGACTTTTCGGCCTTCCGAGACCCCGAAAACTTCATGTCCTACCACCCCTCGTCGACCAATTTGTCCGACGACCGCGCCTATGGCGTCCATTCCGGCAGCAACACCAATTTCGCGGAAGCCGCGCGCTCCGCGACCATGGATTTGGCCATGGACGAGTCAGGCAAGAACTTTGGTGAAGCTCGCTCCATCATGCGGTGGGACAAGCGGCATAAGAAGTACGTTCGTCGCGACAATGACGAAGACGGGTCAAAGGGCAAACGATTGGTCCGTGGAGAATCCGGGGTCAAGATTGCAGCTAGTTTCCGCAGTGGCCGCTTTGAGCGCTGGAAGAAGGATAATCGTGTCGGCCGGGTCCCGCGTGTTGGCGAGGCGGAGAAAGCAAATGGTGCTGGAGCGGGGGCTATTGGTACCGACGGTGTGGGTGGTGCTGCTGGTGTAGGAGGCAAACGGTTCATACACAAGGCTACAAGAGCACCTAAAACCCCCGACAAGTTCCGTGAGGATTACGAGAAGCAAAAGCAAAAGGCAACTAAGGCCAAAGAGCGCGAGGCGACTATCGGCATGCACGGCAAGAAGGAAATCAGGTCCGTGGACCATATGGTGAAAGAACGGCGTGCAAAGGAGAAGAGACGCGAGAAGAATGCTCGCCCGAGGCGCAAGGGGAAGGCTTGAATTGTACACAGTGGAATACAAGCCGTACATGATCGGTCTTGACATTGACAATCGTTTTATGGAATTGCACACGTTCCATCGAGTACTAGTATCCCAAGCTCTGTCTCTCTATGTATGCCGTGACTTGATCATAAAGTATATATATATGTGACAACTCAACGTTAGAAGAAACCTTGTAGAGTTTGTTTTCGACTGCACTCTTCTCTCGGCCCTTTGGTTCCCCGTTATCAAAGACGTCTCCGCCTCCTTTTCCTGGCTGGTGACGCGGCGCGACGCATGTCTCCACGTACAGTACTGTACCTTCATACTGCAAATGACTGATCTCTTGCTCTTGAGGTGGTAAATAAGTGTTTCATCGATCAACCAATAGCGGGGGTTCATTGCATCATCAGTCTTACAGTAGGATCTTCAGGCGAGTCCATAAGGTGTTTGTTTTGTAGCTCCACAGGTACTCTTCATCCAGGTTATCAAGCCAGATCTCTGATGGCCTTGAAGTCGTGTTTCCCATCTTGCAGAACTCTGGAGTACCTAGATATCGTCTTTGAACCGTATGATTCAGGTGTGCTTCCTTGGTCCCTCTGGGAGTCTCCTTTATCTGTGGCTCGAGTCTCATATATCCTGCGGTCAGTCTCTCTCTTTGCTGCAGGCACCTACCTTGTTGAAGTATTGTAGGTAGTAAATTCATTCGCACGATGTCTGCCAGAGATCATTCATCAGTCAGTCTCTTCAGGTCTTACTCGATTGGTCCAGTCAGTCCTTGCAATCGTCGTGGAATGACCTTGGATCCCCCGCAGGGAATGGAACTCCGGCTGGCTACAATTAATGTGTCCGTACCGGTTTCTTTCGCTGCTGTCCAATCGGTGCCCACATGTGTGTGTGTGTACCACGGCATGTCAAGATAAGTTGTGATCACGCCGATCACAACCATGATATGTATATATACTGTGCAGAAGATACTGTAGCTCCAAATGCCAGTGGGTCAAAGAAAATCTGAGTAGTCGCTTCGGGCGGAGAGTGAGAGTCGATTTCGTTCTGAATCCATCATGAGATTAGGGACTGGAAGGGAGTCGAAGCATTTGGCAAAGGAAAGGAAACCAGCGTATCTTAGGCCTCGCAAGCAAACAAGCAAGCAAGCAGTGGACCGCTTGTCCCACCGGTCCAAAATGCCAGGGACTTCGCTTCGATCAGCTTCAGCTTCGTCTTCGACAGTTCGAAAGCAAAGGAGTACTGGTACTCTGTGCCCGAAGGCAGGCCCAGCCACCGAATACACTCTCGCACTTTCCCAGACGCAAAGAGCGTGAATGCACTGAATGGAATGCACCCTTTTGCGCCTGCACGATTGGACGCTTGATAGTGGACACAGTTGATGGATATGCGACTCGGCCTGCCGACGTGCGAAACTTGGAAATCGCATGGGAGAGGCCCGCGAGGTTACCGCTCCGACTTTCGTAAACAGCGCTTCGGATGAGGTAGTAGGAAAGTTTCTGAGTATCGCTCCACAGGGGTTGCAGGAAGATCAGGAGGGCGGCCGGGGGGCTAGCATGTTCATCAGTTGTGAACCGGAGTCAGTCGGTCCCCTTACTCCAGAGTTAGTCGATCCCCTTATCTAGCTGAGGTCGTTGATCCGAACCTGCACATCTACACAGAAGGCAAGACGAAGAGCTCCAAACTTGATTGGCGAAAGCTGGGCAGATCTTATGAAGTCTTGCAACAGCGCAGGTTGGTGAGAGTCTCGTGCCTGAGGCTGGCTCTGTCCCCTGGTCCCAGCGATGGTCGCCATCACCAGATACGACCTGAACATGGCAATAACCCTCCACGGAAGGGAAGGGGAACACCATTAACATGCGTCAGAGGGAGAGAGTCCGAGGAGGAGTGAGTATTCAAAGCTGTCTTCGACAAAAATCTTCAATACCCTCTTGATCCTCAAGTGTCCGAAACTCATCCTCCCAGAGTTGCCTCGATCGACATGCCCGTCATGACTCCATCGGTACCACCTCAGGTGCGTTGGCCAGGCTTGTCGCAGATGAAGGGCGTCCCCCAGAAGTGGGCTTGCAGGGAATCTTGCGTGCGGTAACCGCTTCAGTCAACTGAGATGCCTCACGGAGTTCGATCGCCGCGTCTGTCACATTGACAAGCAGATCTAAGCCTGCTAAAAACACTTTCTGGCTGGGATGTCTGTGTTCTGGATTTGTACACTGTATTCTTTCCCAATAGAGGTTTTTCCTCGACAAATTTGGGGAGCCCCGTCCATTTGCAAGAGTCCTCGGGAATCGTAATCATGTCGGTTCAGTCAGTTCCATGTCTGACACTGAAGGGCGTAGGTAGACACCGCCACGATCCCCCGCCTGCAAGAGATATGTAGGCCGCTTGGTACCCAGCAGTTGTATGGCCGACGCGGAGGATTGGAGCGGATTTTCTCATATGAGTCGTTGGTCTTGCTCAGCCCCATCTCGTGTTGGCGAGCAGATATCCCTGGTCCCCACAGGTCGTCGACGATTCCACGCAATATACAATCACAGGGTATATAAATCCATAAAGAATGGTCAACTGGGCCCTCCCACTCCAAGAACGCTGCTCCTTCTGCCCGGCCGACCTGCGACATGTCGATGGGAAGCATTTCACAGAAACGCTCTGCTAGGCAGCCAGTGTCTCATCGTAGAGGATATATTGGGCAGTCCCAACGCATTTCAAAGGTTGACAGTGCCCAGGAAATCCAGTTCTCGAGGAATTTATCACGTCGGCTTGAGTGGAATACCAGCTGCTGCCAGTCTTCGCTGGGCCAATAGGTTCTTTGTAACTGTACTGAAGACAGCGATTCGATGGTTGCATTCGAGATCTTCCTGCAGACATGGTCCTGGAAATCCGACTCATGTTCTGAAAATCATCTGATCCTAATGATCGAAGTCGACTGCTTCAGATATAACCTCGTCGGACTGCTCCCTCGTCGGCGTCAGCCGTCACTTGGCTGATGTTACCGGCGCCTCGGCCGGCGCGTGAGTTTGCCACATTAGTTGGCGCGGGACCGTCGGGATGAGGGTTAGCAGATTGATCTCTTTCCAAGTTGAGCGAACTACTGTGGTAGTGGTGGATTGGTACTGCTGAGACTGCAGCACGGTACCGAACCTTGGAAAGCCGAAGCCTTTGTCCCATAGGGGTCGTTCGGATTTAATACCCTCAGCTGGTACTCCTTCAGCTCCATGGCCTGCCATTGACGATGCTCCTCGGGTGTCGGATTCTCGGGTAGCAAGGGCACAATAACATAGTACCCTGAGTCTATCGTCCTCTCTATCGCGGCATGGATGAGCAACCTATTCCGAGGCGGAGGACCGCACAACTTAGCGTGACCAGGGCGATTAGAGAGTTTGTCGATATATAGATATAGGCCGAGCCAGTCCGGGTGGCTTGCGTTACTCCCGGTGATGAAACAGGACTGACTTTGGAATGACCACGCTCTGGAGTCTGCGGTGCTGGACAGTGATAATCCCACAGACGTGAAATGGTCGACAACGAAATGACCTCTGACTTGGACTTGGCTCTCAAGATTATCCAATGGGCCACTCCCTAGGGGGACCCAGTTGGCCGGCAGAAGGGAGTCGGATTCGAGGATGGCAACTGCTTCGCAGCCCGAAAGGACATCTGGCGGCAGATACTGAGGAGAGACCAACACGGACTTTATGGAATTCAGGAACAAAAAAGGCAATCAAACATTGTGACAGCGGCAATGCCGCACCCGAGACGGGTATGCCAAAGGCCTAGTCTTGCTCCTCCTTGATGGGAGGACTCGCACGCTCATCAAATCCTTCAAAGACATCGTCGTCTTCACCCGCATCCGACTCCTCATTAGATGAAATGATAATAGGATTCCTGGCCGTGGAATACTATAAAGCTTATTAGCATGTCGCATATAAGTCTCTTGGAAGTCAACATACACGAGGAGCCAACCGACTCGGAGTCGGGGTAGGAGGAGACGAAAACCGCAGCACCCGGCGAGTTGCAGGCGAGGCTACGGGAGAGGGCGCAGTTGCCTCAGCCATCAACGAACGGACCATTGGGGCGTTCGGAGTCGAAGCCAGACGGGGGGCGGCGGGAGCACGAAGGGGCGTCAGAGGAGACGTAGGCAGAGGGTCGTCGTTTACCTTAGCATAGATCTGGCCAGCCACGCGCATCTTAAGATGCAAGGTATGGGCAGCGGCGCGGACCTCAGCGTGACCCTCGCCGGTGGACACTTGGATGGTAGGGCGTCCACCGCTTCCGCGCCGGGAAGGACTTCTGGCTGTACATAGTTCTAGTTGGTGTCGTTATGCATGACCCATTGGTGCATGTGCACTGTAGCCCTCGTCTTTGGATATCCCAGAAACTCACGGCCGCCCAGGGGTTCTTTGTCGTAGACCGGTGCGCCCGACAGTGTAAAGGGACGCTGGTATGACCTGTGTCAACTCCTTGCTCCTCTTGTGCGTACAGACGGAGCATACTTTCGATGGTTTGGCTGTTTAACCATCCGCCCGAGCCTGCAGCTTCATCAATGACCCACTGCTCCTCGTCGAGGTTGTAGTACTGTCCAATATCCGGGGCAAATGACTCTGACGCCGTCGATTTTGTCATTGTCTTGTCGCATCGCCCCAATTGACGCAGTAATGCAGGACTGGTTCAGCCATCCAGACCAGTTTACATCCGGATTTCTGATGAAACAGAGTAAGTCGAATTAGTCGATTGTTGCGCCTCCCTTGAGCAGGTTGCCATGACGGATCTTCTGTTCAACGCCTCTGAATTCCTTGCTTCATTGGCTCAGGGTCGTCTGAATCTCGACCATTACATGTGAAGCCATGATGTGTGCCGCTCGATAGGTATTTATTGCATCCAGGCCGGTGCCCGGATATTCCTCTCTCGAGGGACGACCACTGGCACCATCGGCATTGTATGTTCAAAAATTTGTTGTGCCTCTGTATCCGAGCACACCAGAAGTCGATATGCCATCTTCTCGTTGTAGATAGCGTCCGGGCCAATCATTCGCAATATGTTCGCCGAAAACTCCCTTGCATCTGGCCGAAGGGCAGCCTTGACATTGCCACACCAGCAGGACAGGTTTTTTTTTGGGTAGCCATCGTGAAGCACATTTATGTCATGGGCTTTGCGTTTATCAAGAAAGACTGGGACCTTCTGTACAGTGGTCCAGTACGTCCAGCCGGATGTGGTATGCAGTCTGCTGGTCGATAGCGGTGACTGCAGGTGGTACACGCATCGCAACATCCACCAGGTCTTGCAACTTGCAAAAGAAGTATATCTGACCCTTCTTGTTCCCTATCTTCCGCTGATTCTGCTGCAAGCAACTGGGTTCTCAACTTGCCCGAAGCGTTTCTCCGTCAACTTTCTGCTTTGGCTCTTTTTCCTTCGGATCAGTGATTGCTTTTCCAAGTCCAAACAAACTTAGTGAGTGTCAGGGGACGCCCCTCGGTGGATGGTGAGGATGAGATCAAATTGTCGGACATTTTGTTCCATGGGCACCGTCAGGGGTTTCCCATTGCGTCAGATGCAGCTGGGCAAGCCCTTCGCCGCCATGGCAGTGCAATGCCTTCGGGGATCGGATTCACCATTCTGCTTGTACTGCGATGCCCACCCGTACAGCTCGCGCTACGGCACCTTCCCCTGGCATCCTCATCTGCTCGCCCTCGAGGTTGGGATATTTGTAAACCACGATTGCGTGAGCCAGGATCTCTTCTCTTGCTCGATGAGTAAAGCTGTGACCTTGATTTTCGGTTCTGCAACAGACGACAACTGATCATACGTCGTCTGGTTTGGACTCTGCATAGAAGTTGGCATCTGTGACGGAGTTTGCAGGAATCCAGTATATAGTATATACCGACTGGCGATCTGTACATATTCCGGTCACTGCCGAACTCATGAAAAAGGCAAAATCCAGCAGGGGATATCTCAAACCAAACGCAGAATGCAAATTGCAGACTGCATAGCGTAAAGCACACGCGCTCCATGAGCCAACATCACCGGAATCGTCGCCCTCATCACCCATGAATGATTCGTTGCTCCACGCTGGCGCCGGGAGATTGTGCTGCGCGCAGGGTTACCAGGATAACGCATGCACCCATTATAATGGCAGAAGGGGCATTTCATCGCCATCTAACTTGACTTGAATGCCACGGTCAAGTGCTGACCACGAAGGGCGCAGCGTAGGAATGACAACCGTAAGATTCACAGCATACGGCCATAGAGTGGTCGTGAAGACAGCCTCCCTTTTCTGTCGATTGGGGGTAAGGAGGCGTGCTGGGATCCAATATATCCCCAGCAAGGACCGGTACATATTTCTATATAGTCCGAATTCGTCGACAAAGAAAAGAAAGGGTAAACAGATGCGTACTGCCAAATTTCCGTTAAGACAACGCCGACAACAATGTCCATTTTCAGCCATCCGAGGATTCGGTGAACAAGATTCAAGGGCCGCATTGACCTTTCTCAATTCCAGACCCTCCGGACAAGGTAAGTGGGCTAGGATGCAGTACCTAATTGTCCACGTAGCCAGGTCACTGTAATTGTAATGTATTTTGCTTTCGAGGCAGCCTTTCAAAACAGGCTTGCACCCTTGCCCTCAATCCTGCAGGCACTGTACATGCTCAAGGGTGTTGACGTAGTCCTAGGGGTTTCTGCCACCCCATGGACCACACATCTTCCTTCCAATCAGGTGAGTAGAAGGACATTGCTCTCTGTAACTGTCAACGAAACTGACCAAGATTCAGTATTCGAATCAGCCAGGTTTTAGAGTAGCCGCATCGTCTCGCAGCGCACAATATCGTATATTGCTCGGCGATTTCTCTTTTTGGGATCCAGTAATGGGCAGCGGCCCTCCAATTGAAGTCACCACCTGGCCAGCTTGACAATATTTCCACCAAGAGGCTGATCTCCCCCCAGTTAGCATGCGTCTTGTCCAGGGTCAGGTATTCGTCCGCTTCCGAGGGCTCATCAGGATTCGTCTCATGTTCTCGATCCGCACGTCCGAGTCCCAATTGCTGGAGTACCCATTTGTCAAGTCATTGCTTCCTTTACCATGCCAGAATCAAGGGTATCGCAGCCGCCGGGCCATGTGGCATCATGCCTTAGTTGAGTGGCAATAGCAATGTTTTGTCATGAACGTGGCCAACTTGATACCCTCCGGGATATATACCTAGCCAGGCTAGCCGACGGACTCCGGTTCAACACCGAGCAAGAAGAGGTGGACGCCAATTGTCAAAGCTATGTCCTTCATCACCTTGTTGGCGTCCTCGCCCGTTATCCCCGTCCGACTTGATTTGGTACTCAAATGCTCGTACCATTTCGACCTTACCTAGGGCGGCGTTTCGCATAAGGAAACGGATTATCGTACCAAGTTTTGCCAAATACTCGTTATCGGAGTGACGCTCCTCCAACTTCCTAGCCTTAATACTAGTTTTTCTTGTTTGGCTCATTAATTTGTTGCCATTTCGGTCGACAACGACCGCCTTTGCTGTCGACTCCGAGCTGACGATTGACACCTGTCAATTCGCGTCTATAGTGTTGTATAGACGCTGTGGCTTTCGAACAAAACGTCCGACTTTGGTCCGGAACACCAGTCAAGATTGAGGTATGTGGCACTCGATTCCATGTTGTCTTGCGACTTAGGTGTTAGTTAGGCTGCCAGATTTGACAGAAGTACTTCCAAGCTCTGCAACTGCGGGACATGATGAAGATATAGGAACGGAAGAAGACTCCTAGGTCGCCCGTCCGAGACGTCTATGAATCGAGGAGCCTGTGTAGTAGAGGGTGGACGAAAGAACCGACCTATAAGGTCGCCCAATGGTTGTCTCGATCGGAATCGAAGCAGAGTCGAGGTGCCATCTCGATATCTGATACTGTTTTGGCTGACATAGGGGAATAATGGAGGGTGCGTCCATCGACGACAGCGAAGGATGGTCATCCAGAAAGTTGACGAGGTGAGGGAAGTGTCTGATTGCGCATCGGCAGAAGACCTTTTGGTTTGCTCGAGAAAGTCGCCAGTAGGTAAATCAAGTACGCTGTTCTCTGGCTCGTCAAGAAGAAACGGTACCTTTTCTGCTGAAAACTCTGAACCCTAAACCCTAAACCCTGAACAATTGCTCGAATCCGCGATGTCATTATGCCACAGTAAAGCACGTAGGAAATGGAACGCATGTGTACATAATGGTTCTCGTTGGCTATCTTACTCTTCATGTTTCGAAAAGTAGGGAGAATTTCTCTTGTCTGTCGGTCCAGGACCAGGACCAGAAAACCAGGTGCAGGACCAGGAGCAGGACCAGGCGCGTTCTTCCTCCCAAACGCGGTGTTCTCCTTTTCTGATGACATGGGCGTAGGAGTTGTTCGGGCAGGCAGTTTCGCCGGTGGGGCGAACTTGAGGGCTCCCGTCTTGAGGGCCATACAGTGCTTGAGGATTTGTTTGACACAAACCAACCGAAAGGCGGCAGTCGGCTCGACATTCTGTAGCTTCTGCTTAATTTTGGCGTAGTTGCCGGCCGATTCGATAATCGCCATGGTATTTGCAATTGCGAAGATGCCAAAGTCCCAGTAGTTGGCCTGTAGATTCGACTGGAAGGTCCATCGGCCCCAGGTCGCGTTGGGGTAGGCTTGCCCGAGCAGATCGGTGAAGCATTTGACGTGAGTGTTACTTCGGTCCCGCTGCTTCTGTAGGGAATTCAGTATGGCCCATTGCTGTTGTTCAGGCCACGCCACCAAGAGATAACCAAACGAAATGCCGCGGTCGGCTTCACATTCTGCAACTTCTCCTTGATTTTGGAGTATTCACCTGCTGATTCGATAATGGCCAGGGCATTTGCAATCACAAAGATCCCGCAATCCCAGTAATTTGCCTGCAGATTTGACACGAATGTCCATCTCCCCCATGTGGCGTTTGGGTAAGCCATCCTGTTCGGCTTCCAGTTCAGAAGAGACGTGCCGAGCGAGCCGCCTGCGACAGGCGACGAAACACCTCTGATTCCCCATTGCTTCCGCATTTCGGGACCACTCCTTTCACGAAATGACTCCCGCTGTCCGTGTCCCAAAAGACCACGATTCTGTTTTTGTTGGGGCATATCGCCGATTAATTCCATAGTGAAGGCGATAATAGCCACTTCCAGGTCAACGTCGTCCAATATAGCTTAAATCCCACCGTTAAGTGCCGATAGAACGGGGTAGCATAAAGATAACACCTGTGAGATTGGCACCATAAAGCCCCAGGGTAATGGTGAACATATTCTCCCTCTTCTGGCGGTCGGCAGCAGGGCAACATGCTGGGATCCAATACATTCCCAGTAAGGAGCGGTAGAGGAGTCCGTACGGGCCAGAATCTCTCTGGTTTTGGGGAGTGACCGCTCACAGCCCATGAGACGGTCACACAACGCACCGTGCTCTTCATCAATCAAGTTGCTGGCAAACTCCGCACTTCGATCCCGGGGGCCATCAGACAACCCCGATTGTAGAGGATGGTTGGACGGTTTGACTCCAAAAGACAGGTAAACTCCATCTTACCAGTCTTTTGCCAGACATCGAAGAAAAGCTTGCCAGCAAGCGAGCCTCCATCCGCAGGGAACCTGCATTCAGCCTCCTTGAGCATCATCCTCACTAAGAACCACAGTGATCGGAAATTTGTGGAATTATGCAGTTCCAGTATATATCATTAGATCAGATGCAAGAGCCATCCCGGTCCATCCGGATCTGTACCAATGCCTGCCAATGCCTGCCGCAAGTAAGCCACGGGAGAAGACTGCTTTCCCGAATACCCCCACTCCCAGTGGCGCATATTTCTTCGAGAGACAAAGCGAAGCTTTGCAATGACTGCAAAGTTCTGCATGTCGTTCAACTTGTTGGTGGGCCAGTCGGCGGCCGGTAACCCAATCGCCTGCTCATCAGGCCAGGCAGGGAGAATGATGCCATGCTGGAAAAGTCAGTTATGTGATTCAAGGACGAGGAAGGCACGCAGCACTTGCGCTTGATGCGACTTGGCGCAAGTCGGGATCAGGTTTGATGAGACAGATGACGACGGCCCCGCTTTCCAGGCTCGGTACCTAGGTATTTGTCGGAACCCCAAGGGTGTTTTCTTCCCTGACTGCTGCTTACGCCGTGATGGAATCACCTTGTAAGTTGGTGCCACTTGGATCATTGTCGTTGGTAATGTCGTCCGTGGTTCTTCATTCGTAGATTCATGTTCGTACCGAGATGGTTCACATCTATCCGCAGTGCTGACAACTCCTTGTCAAAGGACAGGGGTTGCTGTTCGAAGGATGATGCAGATCGCGAGTTCAAGACATCATTGCTGTGGAGTCGTCTTGCCCACGTCCTGAAAATACGGATCTCCAGGGTTCTCTTTCCATACGCTGCATATCAACCGACTGGTGCCAGACGCCGAATTCGCTCGCGATCCGCTCGCTGAACTCTGCGGCCCATTCACCGGTCTTTTGTGCAGTGTACGCGGCACAATGCACCAAGTCTGCTTTTGAGGAACTTAGCAGGAGTCTGTCTTCGCCATTCTAACGGTGTCAAGCCTCTGCTGCGCGCCACTCCCAGGGCATCGAGGATTCCAGTAGACCCATTGGCCATGCCCGAAAAAATGCCGGGAATGTCCTCCTTGATCCATGGTAGAAGTCGGTTACGAGCCTCACGTAAGCCCTTGCGCTCTTGCACTTGCTTGCTGGCAAGCTACCAACAATCTTTCTTCGATGTCTGGTGTTGGGTTTGTTCGAAACCCCTAGGGTGTTCGAAGCTAGCTTGCTCGTCACTTGTTTATTGTCCTTTTGGCGAGTTCGTTGGTCCTTCTTTTTAAGCTTTTTCTTTTCCTCCGCTCGCAAGTTTTCCCGGGTGAGTGGTCTCTTTTCTGCTCGCTTCGACGGTCTGTCTCCCGCGGAAGCAGGTTTTTCCTCCGCATTGTCGTCCCCCTGTTGTGCATGTCGAGAGTCAATAAGCCCTCTTCCGGCCCGTGCCCTACCGCCGCCGGGTTCCTCGGCCTGGACTGTGGAATCCCGGGACTCCAATTCTGGCCCTGAGTCTTGTTCAGTGTCAGATGCTGATGTGTCGTGGTCCACTTCATCATCGCTCATTGGGAGTGGCATGTCGGCTAGGTCCAGCATATAGTATTCACAATCCGTGTATCTCACATGGTGTGAGTATCTTGGAATGCAACGCAGGTCCCAGTCAGACTGGTGCAGCCAGCATGAAATATGGATATGTGGAAGTGCATGGACATATATGTATATATAACAAAGGCACAGGATGCTCAGAGGACGAGGGGCTTCGGGAAAGCTGCACACTTCAAAGGAGAGGCAGTCGGAAGCCTGAACTGCTCCAATGCTTTGGCGCTCTGCAGGTGCAAGACACACGAAGCAAGAAGATTCAGCGGGAGACAGAGGGAGATCAGACCTCTATATATACCCAGTGGTGGGGTCTGTCTGTCGACCTTTCAGTGAGTGAGTCCATCTGTGAGTCAGTAGATCATTCACCCAGTTAGCAACGGTCATCCTCTGCTGCCATTTTGTCGTCCATCACTTTCCAGGATCCACATCGTGGCTTGAAATGAGACACACAAGACAACTGCAAGTAGAAGGGAGAAAAGAACCGTGTGCACAGCACTGACATTGTAGAGAAGGGAAGTCCCATTAGGTGATTAGTGCATCTTCAGCCCGAAAAGCAGTGATATGGCCACGTCGATGGACGATTAAACATGAAATATGTAATGGGGAAGATGAATACCTTCGACTTGCCTTGCTTGGAATCACGCCTGGAGGCCCCAGTCCATAATCGGTCGAGGGATTTACAGCACCCCGTTTCAAGCAGAAACAACCGAGAAGATGCGGTAAATGCCCTTGGTCGGATTCGTACATTGCTGATACACTGCATCTGCACCGTACTCACCCACACTGCCGGCTTCACACTCGGATGCCGGTGGAGTGGAGTATAGTGATTTGCCAGTTCTTTAATGAGTCAGGTAGGCAGAGAAGCAATTCCACTTCGAAACAAAGTGCAATCATTCTCGAAGATGAATGTCCGTTTCAAGTCTGTCGAATCCTTCACCGGCACCGTAAAGTCTGCTCAAATCATTCAAGACGGAAGAAAGCGAGGAACATCGGTAACTGCAACACATTGGGATCCATAATGACAGCACCGCATTAAAGCTCATTTCACAGCACATCCCATCCCAGACATGCAATGCAATGCATCACTTCGGGATAAGCCGTACTCATCTCTCGGTTCTGAGTCACGACACCAAAGAAATTGTCGCCGAAGCTTGATGCTTGAAGCTCGGTTGTCACTCCATCCTCACTGATGAAGCGGACTTGGGCTTACCACGAGTCCTCAACAACATACATCAAGTTATAGCTCAATGGCGCGAGAGCAACTTACAACGGGTTGAAACCGACGCAGCTGTGCCAGTGGTGGTGGAAATTAGGTTCTGTCCATTTGAGCGATTAGACACATTCCACAGTCTGAACCCATTTCTGGACCAGTTGTGTACGCAAGGCTGATTCGTGCGGGGCGACCACAGCCTTGCCAATCCACTGTAATAATAATAGTCCAGAAAATCACATGCATGCGATAAAATAAATCTCCGCAACTCGACTTTGACCGCGCGCAGCCTTGCCGACTTTCTTTTTCCAGCGCTCACCAGCAATATCAAGCAGAACCCACCAATCTGCCTATACGACATACGGCCACTGATTCAGGGATACATTTTCCCGGCACAAAACCAGACTGGCCCCCTAAGTCACTCTCTGCACCATGCCTCACAAACACAAGCGAAAACGCGATGAAGACGAGACAAAGTACGTACTGCCACCTCAATGGGAATGCATTGCGCCCCAAACCCCGTCCCTGGGTTCCCTATTGAGCGTTCGTCCAAGCGAAGCATGCAATGCCATCACATTGCTTCATGCGCTTGAACCATATAGGCATCATAAAACAGCCATTTAATCAACCAATTTGACTCAAATGACTGACCGTTTATCTACCAGCTTCGACCTCCCACCCACGACTCGCGCCCGCCCCCTCCCATCCCTAGCAGCAACAAAACAAGAATCAATATTCACCTCCGACAAGGAAACCAAAGCCAAAGCCCAACAAAAAAAGATTGCGTCCAAACGCAAATCCAAACCCAATGGCTTCGCCGACGACGATACTCCCAAAGCATTCGCCCGCCTCATGGCATTCCAACAAGGCAAAAAGATCCGGCCCTCAGCAGGCTTAGACGACGGGACACCAAAATCGAAAAAGAAGGATAAAAACAAACCAAAACCATCCACCACCACCACTACTACGAACACCACCACCAACACCAACACTGATACCAACACCTCCGCCCCCACCACCACCTCTACAACAAATCTCAAAATCCTCCCGGGCGAAAAACTATCCGAATTTTCCGCCCGCGTCGACCAATCCCTCCCCCTAACCTCGATCCCCAAACCCTCCACTGGCCGCCTCACAAAAATCCCCGGCCTAGAAAACCTCAAAGCCGCCCAATTGACGAAACACAATAAACGGCTCGCGCGACTACAGAGCGAATGGCGTGCAACCGAGGAAAAACTGCGATTGAAACGTGAGGAGGAGGCCGAGGAACTCGCGGATAAAGTGGAGGAAGACGAGCTAGTCTGGTTGGGGGCGGGGATTGATAAGAACGCTGGAGTAGCAGGCAAAAAGGGGAAAAAGAAAAAAGGGAAGAAGGCAGATGCTGATGATGTCGATCCTTGGAAACAGTTGGAACGAAAACGGGCCGAGGAAGGAACATTGGGGAGACCGGCGAGTCTGCAGGATGTGGTGTTGGCGCCGCCGGTGTTGAAGCCTGTTAGGAATATTTTCAAGGAGAGATCGGAGAGGAAGACGCCGCTCGTACATACCTGATGGTGGACACCAGGCATGATCTTTTTGGTATATAATATTAAGGTACTAGTATGGCAAGGTATAGTAGTATGGTACCTAGGTATGGTACGGCACGATATCTCACATTCAGTACGACTGAACGCACAAGCAAACGCATGCATGGCCATTGTGAGACCAGACCCCCATGCTACCAGGTAGTCTAACTTGTTTGATCACGATATTATGATATCCCAGTCTTGCCTCATAGTGCATTGGTCCCATGACGAGATGCGCTGTTATCACCATCCTATTGATTTGGTATTCGACATATAGGAACTCAAAAAGGGGGGTATCTCGCTTTATTTTTCCTGTACCAGTGTGGAATAGTATCCAACATCGAATCGCTCCATGTCCATGTCCTTGTGCTTGTTCGCCTCTCATCGTCCTCGAGGTCGTTCAACTCTACCCCAACAACAGCCATAGCAACGACAACAACAGTACCAACTAACCCCAAGTCCCTCCACCACCGCCTCTGCCCTGTCTCTTCTGGGCACTCAATCTCCAATCATCCTCTCCTGCAAACTTGTTGTGCAACGGTTGAATCCTCTCGGCCTTCTTACGTTTACTCAGGCGATCTGTAGGGGCGACTTTGAAGAACGTGGGTGCTGCTTCGACGAGCCACTATTAAAAAAAAACGTTAGCCTTACCATTCGGAAACAAAACACACAGATACGCTTTCCAGATCAGGGATCAGTTGGGGTCACATTAAACATACCTTTGGTTCAATCACAGTCGCACAATGCATATATTCCTTAGTCGTGAGCACTAACGTATGAAATATAACATATTCCGCGGGCTTGCCGAACAACGAGCTGCTAGGGTGCATGTAGACAGGAGTTCCCTCGATGAGTGTCTTGTATCCCTCCTGAGGATCCTTGCGCGCCGAATTGCGGAAGAAACCAGAACACAACGCCTGACGGACCTTGATTGTGTTGCGGCCACATGATACGATAGGATGTTTGTACCGCTGCATAATATTGACCAGTTGTTGCCGGACATCGCGGGCCCGAGCAATCTGCCGCTTTTGTATAAAGTTCTCAAAGCACCAGGCGTCACTGTACCGTGACTGCTTCCATGCATTGTAGACATTCAACAGAGTGAGGTGGTCGCCATGAGGGTCGTGGAACTTGCTCTTCTTTTGATCGGCCTGTTGCTGTTTTTCCTTGGGTCGATAGAATACATTCTGGACAGAGAGCATGGCGACAATCGTGAGAACTTCTTCAGAACAGCCCATCTCAACCGAGGCAATAAGTGTTTTGGATAAGCCCGGCTCCATGGGGAAGTCGGCCATCTTCCGACCAAGTCGAGTCAACAGGCCTTCGTCGTCCAGTGCAGAGAGAGCATACAACTCTTCAAGCGCGGTCAACATGGTGTTGGTAGGTGGAGGGTCCATGAAGTCAAAGTGTAGGAGGTCGTTGATGCCCATGGCCTTGAGCATCAGGATAGTATTGGACAAATTCTGCCGTTGAATTTCCGGAATAGAAGTCGGAAGCATCTCGGACTGGTATGCGGCTTCAGTATATAAACGGAAGCATTTCCCTGGCCCAGTTCTGCCTGCCCGACCGGCACGCTGTTTAGCCTGTGCCTGTGAGATGGGAGTGACCACTAGGGAATCCATTCCAAGCTTAGGGTCATAAGCGCTCCGCTTGACAAACCCGGGATCGATGACATAATAGATGTGGTCGATGGTAATGGAGGTCTCGGCAATGTTTGTGGCAATCACAACTTTTCTGCTTCCAGGAGGTGCAGGATCAAAGATCCGGCTCTGCATCTCGCTGGGCAGCGCGGAGTAGACTGGCAGGATGATCAACTCTGGTACTGAAGGTCCCAACGCTTTCATCCTTTCGTACAGGACTTCGCAACTGGTGTCGATTTCTTCTTGACCCGTCAAGAAAAGTAGAATGTCACCCGGCGGTTCAGTAAGATGGATCTGCATGACGGTCGTCAAAGCAGCGTCCAAATAGTCCTCCTCCGGCTCCCTCGAGTACATGATTTCCACGGGGAACGTCCTTCCGGGAATGGAGAAGATTGGGCATTGATTGAAATACTCCGAAAATTTCTCAGCGTCGAGGGTGGCCGAAGTGACAATTAGTTTCAGGTCTGGACGTCTTTTGAGAGTCTTCTTCAACAGGCCAAACAGCACGTCAGTTGCGATTGTTCTCTCGTGGGCTTCATCCAGCATGATAACGCTGTACCTCTTGAGGTCTGGATCTAGGAGGATCTCCCGCTGAAGCATACCATCGGTCATATACTTTATTTTCGTCTCAGGCGAAGTCCGATCTTCAAACCGGATGGTATAACCGACTTCTTTGCCAAGCTCACAACCAACCTCTTCGGCAACACGCTTCGCGACGGACATGGCAGCCACTCTGCGAGGTTGTGTGCAGCCAATAATTCCATTGTTTGCATACCCTGCTTCAGCGAGATATTGAGTCACCTGAGTTGTCTTTCCTGACCCCGTGTCTCCGACGACAATCAGTAACTGGTTCGCGGCAATAGCCTCAAGCAACTGATTCCGGAACTTGAACACCGGGAGCGATTCTCTCTGCTGCTTGATGGTCATATTCGTCCGTCGGCCAAAAGACTGGTCTTTGCTTTGAACTGCTCGCTTCCACTCCGGTACCGCCGCAATCGCTTTGGAAGATTGTTGTTGAGCTTGTCTGAGATCGGCAGCGAATTTCCGCTGTTCAGGACTGATCATGGGATCCTGCCACTGTGCATTCAAATCGACCTTTGAAGCCTCTTCAGCGGCCTTTTCTGCCGCTTCCTGTTGCTTCAATTCTCTTCGCTCCTTTGTGAGAGCAGTCCCTGCTTGAGCCGCTCTGTTCAATGAACCTTCAGGAGCTTTGACCACTCGAATGGGAGACAACTCCAGAGATTGCTTGGTCTGGCCGGCGAGGAAAGGAGGTTCTTCTTCTTTGACTTCGATGTCGATATCCTCTTCTTCCTCGAATTGCCCCTCTCCATTTAGAGTGGCGTTGTATTCCTCATCAATGTCCGGGTAGTCTTGGGCGGAGATAGCACCAGAGGCAATAAGCTGCTTGATTTCCCACCGCTCGGGAGAGGTCAATCGCTTTTTGTTCCTAGTCGGTTTCGAGTTGTAGTCGTCTTCGATGACCGGCACACTACTACCCAGATTTCCATACCGGTCATTTGATGAGACGCCGTTCAGTCGTTCCATGTTGGCACCTGAAGCGATTCTTCTCGACGGAACCAAGTCCTGGCCAGACTCTTGATCAACCTCTTTCATCGAAAGACTAATCTTGCCGTTTTCCATCTTGACAACTTTGACCTTGACTCGGTGGCCGCGAGACAAAAGATCGGATGGATGGTTGACTCTTGCACCTTCCTGTATCGCAGAAACATGAATCAGACCGCTCGGACCCCCTTTGACACCTTCGAGGTTGGCAAAAGCACCGAAATCCTTGATCCCATTGATGACGGCGTCGTAAACCTTGTATAATACGGGAGCCTCGTCCATCTCCCGCGGAGGAGGCCTTTTGAAATCGTCTCCTTCGTCATCATAGTCGTGTCTCCTGCTCTTATGATGGCCATTTCTTCGGTCGTCGCGTCGGTCTCTATACCGGTAGTCGTAATCATCGTCTCTCCCTCGCCGTGACCTTTTCTCCCCTCGAGGACTAGGACTTCGAGACCAGTGTTTTCGCCGAGAATCTCGATACTCATCACCATCCGGACTGCGACTCCTCTTCCTAGTTCTATCGCTGGCCCCATTTGTACCGTTCCGCTCTTTTCCCGCGAGCCCTTCAAGAAGCGCAAAGGTATCGTCCTCCTCCGGCGTTCCCACGTCAGGCGGCCGAGTCTCGTCGATGGTTTTCTGTCCAACCATGTCATCTTCGTAATCGTCCCATAAACGTTCGCGGTCCGGCACAGCGAGCCCTTTGAAGACCCTCGCCTTGCGACTGATCTCGTCCAACTCATCCATATCCGACTTTTCCTTTTGTGCCGCCTCTTCCTTCTTCTGGTTTTTGTATTTCGGATGCATGGTCAAAATCAACCGGTCGATGCTCTCCACCAGGCTGTTCGGGAACTCGGCCCCCATGGAGGCCAGAGCCTCTTTGAACTGGTCTAACTTTCCGCCGCATTTTTCGTGTTGATCGATGACAAACTCGGCGAGAGTCTTGTCGCTGATTCCAAGATGGTTCTGTAGTTCCGAGGTGACTTTGGAGACGAGCGATAAGAGCTCGAGCTCAGTGAAGTCGTCCATGGCCACGGAAGGCCTCGTGGATCGTATGCAGGATCGTTGTTGTTGGCTTACAGACGGCCAGTGGTGGCTGACATCTGGTGCAACTGTAGGCGGCGGATCAAAATGCCACAGACGCGTTTTTTGGCCGCAGATGTCACAGGCGCTAGGATGGGGTACTTTGCGGACCACTCGAATCAAGCCTGAGGTGTGCCACTCCGGTGGCAACTGGAGTCCTCGCTAGGCTGCAGAGTACTACCTGCGATGATTACGGCCAACAACAGATGCCGATTCAAGATTCGGGATTCGGAATGTCTCGTCGCTGTGGAGAGATCGGACCTCTCTTGTCTTTTGGAGATCTGGGTGTTCGTCGAATTGGCGCTCGTGGGCTCAGAAGGCCTCGCCGCTCACCGCCGCAGTCTACTCCAAGCTGTACCTTGGAACTAATGTACTGCCGGAGCGTAGATCTAGACGGACTTCGTCTCGTACTACGGCTAATAGGTCGTCGCCTGATCCTACTACTGGTATCTGGGAATTTACCTGCAGTGTAGGAAAATAGCCAGCCTGAGCTGTAGCAGGTACAGATGTACCTTGTACTACTGCCATACCCGATAGTACAGGGCACTCGGCAGGGTCCAGACCAGGCGGCGGCTCATATGTCGCAGTCTGGCCGCGGGACCCCTAGTAACAAGCCTCGCTCCTAGTACGCGGCGCTTGCTCGCTCGCTCGCTCCTTCCCCTCCACCCCGCCTTGTCCAGCCTGCCAGTGAGGGACACATTGGCATATATTTGTACTCTCCTGCAAACCACCCTCACACATCATCCTTTGCCCTTCTTTGCCCTCCTCCTCCTACTACCCGACCGTCTATATCAGTCTACAAGCACGGGGTCCAGTCTGTCTTTACACCTCCCTCATCTGCCAGGACCAAATCCTTCCTTGACTATCATTAAACACCAAATATGGAAAGCATCCGAGCAGCGATCAAGCGCAGGCTCAGCCACAAGGATCAGAATGGTATGTATTTATATCATTCGCGTGTCTGCTGCCTACACACCTTTTGTTTTGTTTTTTACATGGATCTTGTGTCCTGTTTGTGCAGACGAGTCATGTCGTCTCCTCTCAGAATGCCGTTTCTCCCTGCCTTCTCTGACACAGAGCATGAAGCCTATGCTAATGCAACCAATGACAGCCAATTTTGACGAACACGACTCTGCCGATGAAGAAACCACAGACTATGTCACCAGAGAGGCCGAGGAAGCTGAGAAGGAGGGACATGATACAGGAAAGCCAGGCAGCTTCCTGAACCGCCTGATCCTGCACGGCAACAAAAAGACCGAGGAACAACTTGCACGAGAGATGGCGGCCGCAAACCCGGAGGCCGGAGCTGCTGATAAAGTGGTGGTACAACGATAAACATCCATGGAAGGTTGCTTCACACAAGGAATGCTTCAAGAGGATAGGGTCTGAAGCAGGGTACATAAATGTTTGAGTAGCAGCCAAGACAGTGGTTTCCCTCGTCAGCACAACGCTTATTCAATCATGGACTGTTTGCTCCTTTTTTCTCAAGAGTGCTGTTCGCGGAATGAGGAGACTCCTCTGGTGGAATATCGGGGGCAATCTTCACACAGCCTATCCATGTGCGGTAACTGCAGACTGTTGAGATCGAGCATTTTGAAACTCCGAGTCCTCTGGCCCGCGAGTCCAGTCCACCGGCAACGCTGATTCCTGAGAGTCCGGGAAGTCGAGATTTGACCCGCCAAATTCGTGAGTCGTGGGGATCTTTGGGAAGTCCATTCTCTTCTTGTAGGAAAGAACACGCTTGCGAAGTTCTGGATTTGCCGAAAACTCACGCAAACACGTGTTTATCCTGTCCTCCACCATCTCTTTGGCATATGTGGCCATATCCCTGTCCTTGAAAGTGCCGATGAAGCGGTAACTAAGCCACAGGAACAAGATCAAGACTTTGTGGAGATCCTCCAAGCTTTGTAGGTATTCTCTATCTCCTGATATGGGTTTCTCCAGGATCTCGAGATTGATTTCTGGAACATCCACCACTGTGACCTGTCTTTGCTCGGCAATGACTCGAGCTAAAGCTTTCATTGCCAGGGTCACTTCACTCGACGCACTGTGGCCGGGAGCAGCTGTCAGCACGATTCGTTGAGCGGTCGTCAGCCCTCTCACAGGCTCGATAATGCGGGCAATTCGGCTCTGGTCGCGGATACTGCACAATTTGAATCGTCGATGGATAGAGGCAGACCGACGAAGGCGCTGTAGAATATATTCAAACGGTATCCCTTTGGGCAGCCGAGTGGCCATATCCTCCAAGAAATCTCCCGGTGGTAGCAGACCTGCATATCTGATGGGAGGATCTTCTGCGTTCATGGCGTCACGGACGATGGGAAGATCCTCATCGTTCAAGGTGGTTACCAGGCCGACATTGGCTTCTGTGGCAGTGTCGGACTTGTTGGAGCTGTTGTTCATGGCTTGATGAGAGCTTCGGTATCGGCCAGCTCGACCGCCGATCTGCTTGATTTGAGGGACGGTCAATTGTTCCGTGTAGGAGCCATTGAACTTTAGAGTTCCATGGAAGATGATTCGCTTGACACTCAGATTCAGACCCATCCCAATGGCATCGCTTGCCACCAGATAATCGTAATCGTTGTCCGGGTCGTTGAACAACGCGGCCTGTTGTGCTCGCGTCTCAGGAGGCAAGCTGCCATATACAATAGCGCATCGACGACCCGTGTCCAACTCGATCTGCTTCTTCATGGCATGCAAGCTGAACACGGAAAAGGTGACTATGCAATCACCTTTGCGGAGGTTTTTGAGATTTCCTCCGAGACTCTTTGCCATCACCTTCAACGGATTGAGACGCTTGTACTCATGCACATGCAAGCTGTCGCCGGTCGAAGCAGTCAATTCGCGTATCAACGGGAGAACCCTCGCCTCTCCACAGAGATGAACCTCTTTCGCATTGGCTCCAAGAAACGCCCTGGTCCAAGCCCAGCCACGGTCCTCCGAAGCCATCATCTGCACTTCATCAATGACTGCAACCTCGACGGGCGTGGTGACGTCCACCATTTCCACCGTCGACGCAGACAGCGTGACATCTTCATTATCGTCAAGTCGGACGTCGTCTCCAGTCACCAGATCGCACGCCATCCCTTTCGCTTTGAACCTCGAAAACACTTCATGCGCCAGTAACCGAAGCGGCCCGGCGTAGAACCCCGAACCACTTTCCTCAAGTCTCTTGAGCGCATTATATGTCTTTCCCGAATTCGTCGGCCCAATATGGAGATGGACATCTCTCTGAATCTGACGTGCAGGAGTATACCATTCTGTGGGATATCGCAGATCCGGCCGGACGGACTTCAGGTTTCCAGGATCCTGCTCGGCCTTCTTCTGGAGCACGTAGTCGATGAAACTGAAGTGGAGGACTCTTTCGAGGTCCGCGCGCCAGTCTGACGAGTTCTGTGTATGTCCTATTTCCGCCAGCAGTCTGTCGTCTTCGGCCGTCTTATTTTCTCCGGTCACAACACCTTCAAGTTTCCTCTTAAATCCAGGCCAGTATTTATGGTCCGGATCGAGTGCGGCCAACTGTGTCACTTCCGACTCGTCATCGACCTTGGTGGAGGACAAGCGCTTCTTCAGACTCTCTAAACCGGTAAGCAGCCGATTCTGTATGGTCTCGGGGGAGAGTTTCGCTGCGACCGGGCCGGATCTTCGGTTCGGCTTCGAGGATGATTTCGAGTCTCGGCCAGAATCTCCCTTGCGGCGCGATGACGGGAATCGATCCCGTGGTCCTAGTAGAGTGGCATTATTCGTGAATCGGCGCCGTGGATCATGGGCTCGTTTCGGCGATGCCGCAAGCAGCGTTCGAATGGAACATAAAAGGCATTGGCCTCGTCGTGTCGAGATGGGGAGCATGCCCTTTGAAAGGCAACGGAGGCAACCTTGGAATGCTAGTTGGTGAAAACGGACAAAAACAGACAGGAAAATCAGGGCCCAAATCTAAAGAAATATAACTGTCATTACTAGCGAGGCAGGAAATCCAGCCTGCATTTGAACGCGCCGCTGGGAGGCAAAAGGACATGAAGTTCTGAAATAATTATAATTACTATGGTATAAGAACCGTGCCACTGCCAGTGACGGAACAGGGTCGTCCAAAAAAGTTCTAGACTGCCGGCGCAGGGACGTGGAGCCGTCAACTTTTATTTACAATGTAGGCGCCATCGGAAACTTGAACTCTGAACCGTCAGATCCATTTTCTCCACCTGCAGAAGAGATCGGAAATATCCTGTTCAAGTTGGGAATTCATCAGATAGTACATACAACATTGTAGAGTTCTATCAAACTGCCATGAGAGTTATAGCAGCACACGAACAGTTGAGTTTCCTTGTTTTTGCGCGTTAATGTAATTCAAGTGTTCGTCCTAAAGCTGAATATATTCGTTCGGTAGTTGGGTTAGATGGAAAAAGGCATGTCTGATCATAAGTCGACAAACAGTACAAACTCCGAGTCGACACGTAACAAGAAGGGTGATCTTGATAAAAATGACGACGTCCACAACGACGTGCGGCGGCCCTTTTGTACCAATTCCCTAGGTTCCTCGTGTAACCATATCCGAGAGTGCCCGTTGCGCCTGTCGCTCGTCACTCAAGGTGCGACCGCGAGCCCATGATGCGTCTGTGTTCATTTCACCCCCACAGCCCTCGCCCTGCCAGCAGCCGAGCATCGTCTTCCCATGCCGCATCGCATGGGCAAGTCCAGCGAGACCACCTTTCATGCTCAAATCCTCGTCTGCGCCGCCCGTGGGAGGCCGGTGGCCAAAAAGACGTTTCCGTCTCTCTTCGTCTGCCTCTTCGCTCGAGAGGGTGATTTTGTCCACGGGTCCAAAACCGACTGATTCTAAGTTTGTGCCAGGTCCACACCGATCACTCACAATTCCGTCAAGAACGTCTCTGAATTCGTGTTCGTATGATACTATCCAGTCGTGGGCATCGTGGCCAGTGTGATGACCTTGACAAGGCATGTGACGACATAGGAACCAAGTATGGGTTGCCAATCTTGATCTTGGATGGAACGTGTGGAAAGTACGAAGAGCTAAATTCCATATAGTAAGACTCTTGTGTGGACAAGTTAATTTAAATGAAGACTTGTTTTGGGGCATGTGTTTGCTTTGCACTCCAGGCATTCAAGTTGTTTGTCAACGGACGGGAAGGGGCTATAGACGTCTGCAAGGTCCAGTCTCGATAAATAGGGCTCCAAATTCGGATCATCGAGATAGCCCATGATTTGGACTTTCGTCTCGGTTGCCAGAGGACTGGAATCCAGGATATGTTCTGCCAATCGTATTCTGGTGAAGTAGTGAGCATCAAATATGAACTGCCGGGATCGTCGGAACACGTCTCGGCATCGAAACTGCACATCATTGCGGTCCTCGTCGATGATGTGGTAGTGGAATTCCTGGCGGATTGGCCCATCATCACCGTACTGTTGCCAAAGGAGGGGCCCTTCCGCCTTCTCGAATGCCCACCCGGTGGCAGCTGGATCAGGTTGATAGACCGGTGCATCTCCAGGTCTCGGGACCCAGATCTGCCTTCCCTTTATCCCGCCCAATGCTGCTAAGTGGGCTGGACTTCTTGCCACAGCCTGAGCATGGCGTGATGCAGCTTTTTCAGGGTCGGGATCCCGCTCGCGCACGGGATATTGCGTGAAGACCCATGGGAATCCTTCTAGGGCGTTGCTCGACTGCCAAAGAGCCCGCAGACAACGGAGAAGCTCCTCATCAAGGTCGGCTAGGAACGAGTGGATCTCCGCCACTTTGGGAATACTCGACTCATTCTCGGGGAACTTGCGTTGCAGGGCATCCTCGCTGATGAAAGCGGTAGCAAGGTAGAGGATCATCCGCGCAGCAAGAAAATATCCATCTGGAACGATGGAGGTAAGGCTCCGAATTGGGAGGAAGAAGCTTGCCCAAGCACTGAGAATGATTTTGTTCGTAGTTCGTGGATGGCCTCGGTTTTGCGCAATACTGCATATTTCGACGTATAGCTTCTCGAGGAAGCCTGAAATGATAACTTCTTTTTCACTCGTGCCTGGCAAATCGGACTTTTGCTGCTTGTTTGCAAAGGTGTCGATGTCCACAGCAAGCTGCTGATTTTTCGCTATAATTTTTCCAAGAAATGCCTTATGTTTTGTCATGTCGAGTAACTGCCCTTGCGGCGATGGGTCGTCGCCGTTGAGCAAAGACCACGGTCCACTTAAAGAAGCAAGCAGGACAGCATCAAAAGCGAGGCAAATAAATACATAAGAGGGGTTCAGAACTGAAACAAACATTGGCGCAAGTGAGTTACAGCAGAATCAGGCAGACAACGAACCTACTTTACCGAAGGCCAGAATCTGCAGGGGTCTGTGCCTGATGCCTGCGAATGTAGTAGTTCAAGTTGTTGAAGGCGGGTGCTCCAAGCGGCGAAGTTGCAAAGGTTGGCAAGACATGCCAGACTAAGTGGCTGAGGAAGTGTACTGTTGACTTTAAATCATGGCAGACGCGGAGACTCTGAAGCGGTCAAGGTCAAGGTCAAGTTCTGTAAAGTTGACTTTGTTTCACGCCGGGTGGATTGTAGAGGTGTCGTCCCAGTAGGTAGTTGCATCAGAAATACGGGGTTTCGAGCGTCACTGGCACCGTCATGTTATGCCAGTGTTGGCCGCTGTGTCAATGTAACTCGAAATGCAACACTCGCTCCAGCTAACTAGTTTAGTTGCAACACTGTGGTGTCTAACCTCTCGCTGAAAACTTGCCTGGTCCTACTCAGGCTCTCGTTTTCTGTACGTCTGCACCGCATCACGACTTATTCCTGTACCGTCTTGGGTTGCTACATTAGCATGTGAGCATCGTGCACACCCGCCGCCTCTCGCAGCCGTAATGGCCACCTCCATCCTCGACATTCAGCGAAACATCATTCTCGGCACGATACGAGCGACGTCTGGAAGAGATTGGAAAGTCTTGGTCTTGGATGAGCAAAGCAGGAAACTCGTGTACAATGTTACCACGGAAGACGATATATTAAATGCCAACATCACCAACATCGAGCAACTTGAACAGCGCAGGCAGACGCTTTCGGACACGGACGCCATCTACCTCCTGTCCCCATTACCGCACATAGTGGAATGTCTAAAGGCCGATTTGAGTCGAAGGCGATATCGTCGGGCACACCTAATATGGACTTCACAGTTACCACAATCCCTCGCTGAGGAGATCTTTCGTTCCGAGTCACGAGCGCAGTTGATCGCCGAGTCACGCAGTCTCAACATTGATTACTTTCCTCGCGAGTCGAACCTGATTACCTTTAAAGAACCTTGGAGCTTCCATATCCTCTACCATCCGGCATGCGACTCGTTGGTCAAGAACCATTTGGATGCATTGACCCAGAAAATCGTCTCAATATGCGTTTCGCTGGGAGAATACCCGTTGATTAGGTATTACAAGCCAAGAGAATACGAGAGACATGCGGCCGATGTCCTGTGCTATCATTTGGCCAATTTTGTGCAAACTGCCTTGGACAACTATGCCCGTGATGAACGAAATGATTTCCCGCCTCAGTCTCAGTCAAATCGACCTCGAGCCGTCCTCCTCATCACCTCTCGATCCATGGACCTGATCTCGCCGTTTGTTCATGAACTCACGTACCAGGCTATGGCTATGGACCTGTTACCTATCGGGGATGACGGGGAAAAGACCACATACAGAAATGTCATCAGACGGGGGCAGCCTGACCAAGAAGAAAAGGACGTGGAGATCAGTGAGAGAGATAATCTCTGGGTTGCTCACCGTCATATGCACATGAAAGACCTTCTGGTGCAACTCAGTGAAGAGTTCAGGAGGTTCCAGGCCAAAAACCCACAGTTTGCCGACAACGACGGGCAACCTGCCAGTATCAACACGATCAAGGACATGTTGGCTGGACTTCCCGAATTCCAAGAGGGCAAAGAAGCATTCTCATTGCATATTGATATGGCCGAGAGATGTGCAAAGGTTTTCTCCGAACGGAAGCTTCTGGACGTTGTGTCGCTTGAACAGTCGCTTGCGACCGGAGTGGATGAGGACAACAGACGTCCGAAGAATACGGCAGATCAACTTGTGAGGCTGCTGGACGATGATAGTGTTGTCCACGAAGACCGTTTAAGGTTGTTGATATTGTATATTCTGTACAGGTACGGCATTCTGCGCGGCGACATTGAAAAATTGCGATGTCACGGACAACTGTCGCCTATGGATGGCGAAATTATCTACAATCTCGTCACTTTGGGGGCGAAAGTCGAGAAACAACTCAAAGAAAACAACCAGCCCCCGCCACCATTGTTTCCCCCAAGGTTCAGAGACAACACTAATGCCGAAGAAGTGAGCTTGTCTCGGTTTGAACCAGCCTTGAGATACATGTTGGAGGATCAATGCCAAGGGACACTGGACACGAATGTCTTTCCACCCGTGAAGCCGCATTTGAACGATCCCAACTCGCAGCTGAATGCCGCTCAAACGTCGCTGAGGAGTGCTGGAAAGCCTACATGGGCACAGACTCGATCTCAATCCAACAAGCCCCGTCAACGCATCATCGTGTTTATGGCCGGCGGTGCCACTTATGCCGAAGCACGAGCTTGTTATGAAGTTTCCAAGGCGGCGAATAAGGAGGTGTTTCTGGCCACGACGCATATGATCACGCCGAAACACTTCCTGCGACAGCTGAGCCTGTTGAGCGCAGGTCGCAAACAACTAGACCTTCCCATGGATCGGCCTCCGCCCAAACTTCCAGCTTGGATGTCGGAGGCTCCCCCACAAAGCCAACAACCAAGACCTCAGGCTCCTCCGAAAGGTAGACCACAGGGCACCATGAGGCCTCCCACTGAGGCCATGCAGAACATGACCATTGGAGGGAGACCAGACAAAGGCGTTCCCGTGCCTGTGGCAGTATCTCAACCGCCCTCTTCTACCCCTCATCCTTCCTCGTCCGGGAGCGATGGCCGGACAAAGTTGAAGAAGGAGAAGAAGCATCTCGGATTGTTCAAGAAGCACTAGACAGACAGTGCTGTTTCTTTGACTTAGCATGGCGTTTGGAGAGGTAGTTGTTGAGCGTGCATATGTGATAAACCGTGTGGTTAGTGGTTGACTTTGTAAATAAACTGATGCATGCCGCAGTGGGTCAACCATTCGGTCCCAGATACTGCTCCAAATCCTGACCCCCATAAAACACTCTTCGCAGTTTTTCGGCCTTTTTCTTGGCTTCCATATCCTTGATCCTGACTTGTTTGGCGTTAAGCCGGACGACCTTATCTTCCTTTTTCGCTCTAGCCTTGCGTTGTATGGTCTTGATGTCGTGGTCTTCATCTTCTAGGGTTTCCCGAAGTCCGGCAGTGTCCTTTTTCTCCTTTGGTTTGATCGGTATCCTGATGCCTTCCTGTCTGGCCCCAAGTCCTTTGCGACTATCCGGGTTCCATCCATATGTTTCCAAATACCTCAGACCAACATGTTCCCTGTCCAAATGGGATGGAGGATGAGAGTGTTCCAGACACACTTGGTGTGCTATAGAAGCCTCGTGGGCCTCCATGGCGGGCTTTCCGTCCGTAGATACGATGGGTTGCTTGCAGACTGGACATATTACGTCTTCATTTCCACCCCCAACTGTTGCCGGATCGAGATGTGTCTGCTCGTCTCGCGCAATTACTGGAGCTGCTGTGTGATTGTTCTCGTTTTGCTTTTGGTTTGATTTCTCGCTATTGGATTTGGGCAGGACGATAGATAGATATCGGGACTCGGCAGAGGCTGAATTCGAGGTTCGTGCAGTGGTCGTCGGAAGTGCAGACTCCGAGGACGTCGCTGGGACGAATGCGATTCTTTTGCGTCTGATCCCGGCGCCGAATACGCGTTGATCTTCGACAGGGAGGAAGTAGTCCTCGTCGTCGTCTTGATCGGACATGATGGGAGGGGGTGAGGGCAGTCCTCAATGGGACTGTGGTAGATAATGTTCACCGTCTACATCGGGGGTTATTAGAAGTTTAGACAACTTTTGGACCGACGTGGACCAGTGGCGTCACTGGAGTTGGAGGCGAGGCTGTACAGCGGTAGGTACCGACCAGGCTGCGCTAGGCATAAATGGGTGTGCTGTCACGCTGCCACAGTGCTGCCTTTTCGAACGGCTTAGTAATATGGTAAACCTTCCACAAAAGCTTTTACCATCCGTCGTATCTTCTTGGAGACGTTTCTTCACCAGCTCGATGCATGAAAGCATGTCTGAACAACGCAATATTACTCAGATCATGGCTGGCTCCGGCATCGGGAGCTCGACCAAACATCGGTGAGTCAAATAAACATATGGTACACGGTCGCGACTCGGTGAATATGCATCCCGAGTCTCACGGCTCCGCATGTGGGACTGGCCAGAGCCATGACATTCAAGTTAGGCGAGACAACGCGGGACTCCACCTGCGGCTACTTGTTGAGAGATCCTATAAGATCGTATATGTATAGCCCTGACGTGAGAAATGGCTGTTCGGCAGAGTCTATTATATCCGGCGCCGATCAGTCTCAACGAATCGCGCATTGAACGCACCGTGGTTTTGAACCTCTCGGCAGATTGGGGGTGGTGCAACTTCCACAGAATCTAGTCATGGCTGACTCAAGAGTTTTGTTCACGGGCGGAGACCAAGAAGTCGAACTGCGATCTGGAGTTTGCGTGATGGCGGCTTGAGTGCGCTTACACAAGTGTTCTAAAGGGAATACCATGCCTCTATTATGACTCCTGCAGCAATGATGGCTGGAGCCTTAACTGGCGAGGGTCTGTTCGCGGCAACTGGCCCAATCCCGTCTTTGCGCGCACTCGCTGTGCTCCCATAGCGAGATCGGATGATGTTCGCGGTCGATCCCAAACACGGGGTCAAGTCCTTCCAAGACATCCGACGAGTCAAGCCGCCTTTGAGGATTGTCACTTCTGCAGACAGCAGAACGAATTTCATTCGATAGACGGCAATGAGGATAATGGAGGCGCACGGAGATGGCCAGACACTAGATTCATGGGGAGGTTGTTACGAATTCGGTACGCGACCTGATGATTGTATAGACAAGGTCGTCGATGGCACTTGTGACGCCGTGATCCAAGAGGCTATCATGACTCCTTGGTGGAGTGACCTGATCGACGGGAACAAAGTCATTCCTATTCCATTCGAAGCGGAGGCGCTGGTCAAACCAAAGGGCCAACACGGTTTTGAGCCGGCCACCATGCCAACTGGGCTTTGGAAGGGCGTCAACTACGAAGTTGCAACAACCGACTTAGCGGACTTCGTGCTCATAGTCCAGGAAGACTTGCCTGAGGATAGTGCCTACTTGCTTACCTGGTGTTTGGTTGAGACGAGACATCTGCTGGAGAATCAGTACAAGCACGTACCCTCGGAAAGGAGTCCGCTGACTTATCCGCTGGACCCTAATGCTATGGCCAAGCCGTCACTCCCATTGCACCCTGGGGCGGAAAAATACTACTCGAATCAGGAGATCCTTGATAGTCATCGGAGCCATGCAGTTATGGCAGCTCGTTTGGGATCATCCAGTTCTGTGAACTGTTCCTCCGAATTGGGTGTTCAGGCGAGGCCGTCAGTTCACGGATGCTGCTCATTCTTCTGCGGTCCGGTAGCCCCAACCAGTTACAGCGTAATCCGGCTAATGTGCTCCAGCATCAATATTGCTACCCAGTTATGCTATCACCATGAGTGTATTTCCGCATTACCATGTTTCAGAAGCCTGCTTCAGTCCCACAAGGCTGGCGAACCCCACAATCGTCTAGCTTTCGGATATAACCATGCCGCAACCCGGTGAATGGTTACCTACATATCCCCGGACCCCGATCCGAATTCGGCAACACCCACCCTGGTGATATACTCTTTACGCGTCTAATTCGACAGCATTACTCAAGCCACCAGTTAAGCCAACAGAGGATTGGTAGTCCCAGCACGTTCGACTTTGGCCGGTACTTCAATACGCTTGACCAAAAACCATACAACCATATACAACCATGGTCGCCCTAACGGCAGACAAACAGCAACTGCTGCGTGACTTCATATCTGGCTCCCACATCCTCCATTATCATGGGTAAGCCTCTCTGCCTCCTTTCGAGAATACACCAGGAACCATTGTGAAACTGATGGCCTGTGACGGCTCTCTGAAACGGGACATGCATGACAAGGTAGGATTGAAATCGAAACTGTCTCTAACTCCTGGGTCCCTCTCAGTGTCCTCGATGCATATGGCCATTTGTCAGTCCGGAATCCCACCGCCTCTGATCGATTCATCATGCCGCGGAACTTGGCGCCAGCGCTGCTCGCGTCTGAGGCAGACCTTGTAGAATACCATGTGGCAGACGCGGAGCCCGTGGATCCTTCTGCTCCCAACGGCTATGTCGAGCGGTACATCCACAGCGAGATATACAAGCGGTATCCTGGTGTCAACAGCGTGATTCATAGCCACGCCAGCGAGGTCATTCCTTATACGATATCTGGTATGTGGACTTTCATCTTATCTCCTCATGTGTATGCGCTAATATGTGATCTTTTCCTCAGAAGTGCCGTTAAAGCCTTGTTATCATATGGCTGGATTTCTCGGTACGTACTATCCGGCTCTTGAACGAGCAAAGCTTTGTGTGATCCCATCTGATTGCTGTCTTGCCCAAGAGCACACCCCTTGGCTCTGAGATCCCAACTACCAAACTAGCATTCATTCATTCATTGCTCCATAACCCAATGTTTATTTCTTCCAGTCGGCTAAATTTGGCCCCTAAACGTTTGGATAATCACAGGCTCTGACGTCCCATCTTCGACATCTCACATGCCTACCAAGAAGCCGACACTCGGAACATGTTAATCTGCAACATTCCACTAGGAGTGGCCCTGGCATCGTCTTTTTCTGGATCCGGAGCTGCTGCTGCTGCTGCTGCTGCCGCCGCCACTTCCGAACCAGACCATTGCGCAGTGCTCATGCGAGGTCACGGCTTCACCGTTTGCGGGCGGTCGATTCAGGAATCTGTCCTCCGTGCGGTATACACCAAGGAGAATGCGGCTATACAGACCAATGCCCTCTTGACCCATGCTGCGCACTACCGAAACAGCAGCTCGGGATCCGCGGTGTCTGATATTGCATACCTGCGACCAGAGGAGATCGAGGCTACCACGGAAATGACGCGGTGGTCCTTCATGAGACCTTGGAAACTTTGGGTTAGGGAGGTCGAGGCGGCTGGGTTGTATGTGAATAATATTTGAGGGATAGAGATCCAATTCTGGATTGAACAAGCCACTACATACATCCCTGTTCTCAATAGCTTGGTGCCCAGTGCCCATTTGAGTCATACCGGGACTTTGGAGCCATCAATACCCCGGATTAACTGCCCCGGATGCGTATGATTCTGGACAGGAGAAGGAAATCTCATAGTCCGCGGTCTTATTTGGCTGGGTGGGACAGTTAAAAAGGATCGGGAAATGGGGTCAGTCTCTCTTGACACGGCCGTAGTGGTTTCTACTACTGTACCCCCGAGATTGGTTCGCTAGGTAGTGCAGTGTGGTTTAAGTACTGGTAGCATCTGAAGTCTTGGTTTTGATCCCTAACTTATTCTCGCGAGCATGCTGCTTGAACTGCTGGGCCTTAGGGCGATGCTCATGATATCTACTCAGATGGCAGCAACAGAGGTAAGTAGCACATTGGAGCCTACGAGTCCCTTCGCCTGGCTTATACGGCGACCAATTCGAAGAGCCCAGAATGTAATTCATTGACCACAAAGGCGTAGGTACCTAGGTACCTTCCTGTACCACCTCTGATTTCGTAAGGCGAGAGAAGACAACTCGAACACGAATATGTATTCATACACATCCAGCCAGAGACATTGTTTCATTCTAACCTCGTTGTTATCACGAGTCATCCTGCTCCTATTCCACTCCCAATCCAAACCCAGTCCACTCCCTATATTCATCCACAAACTTAATCGCAGCCTTAAGATACCAACCATCCTTCTCCCCATACAGCTCCTCGCCCACTTTCAGAGCACGGACAACCTTGACATAATGCGAATCAAGGGAGAACCGACTATTCAACGCCTGATCCCTCACATAATCCCACCCACGACCCTTAAGATCCACCTTCTTCACCAAATCCGTCTGGACCGGCCGCCTCAACTGCGCAACATACATCAACAAAGTCCACATGACAAACTGCTTGACCATATTCCCCCGATGTTCCACAGGCGCATATGGCAAAATAACCCGGAGGGCATGGAATGCAGTCAGAATATGAATCAAAAAGAAATCAAACTGCCGTTCAGCATCACCAGTTTCAACGGCAATGCGGGCAGCGACATCGAAAATCTGCTCGAATTGAACCTCGACATCATCAAGCACAAAGGCATTATAATGCTCTAGAAGGACATCTTCGGCTTTCGCATGGATGGCAAAAGTATTCATGAACCCAGGGTGTTCGAAAAGCCCGTCGAAGCGTTTGTCGTCGACGACTCGCCCCAAAATCTCAAGCAGGTCTTTGGTCTTGTATGTCGACTTGCCGGTGTCGGCTGGAGGGTTATCGAAGTATTTGTGCATGAAGTCGACCTCGGTGCATCCAAGACTCAGGGCCTCGGAAGCAACTTCTTTGCTGTCGAATTCGTAGGCGTAGGCGAGATGGATGAAGGGATGGCCCACTGTGACAAACAATCAGTAAGCTTAGCAATCGAGGGAAAACGGTGGTGGGTTATATCTTACATCCACCACAAAATCCATTCACCAAAGGCTTCGACCCAGAATACAAATGCTCGGTCACGACTTTCTTCCAGTCGCCGTTGGTTTTGGCGATCTCGTCGTCAAAGTATCGTGCATACTCGACCGTGTGGTCCTTAGACGCCAGAAATGATCGCCAGTTCTCGCGTGTGATCGGGTTCTGGGGCGGCACTGTCTCCTGCGGCCTCAGGTGTTCGCCTTCGGCTTTGAGGATCTCGAGGAGCTTGGAGCTTGAGCCGCCGAGATAGTATGATGAGCCTAGGATCTGTGATAGAGAGCCAGTTTTAGCCAATGTGCTTTTGGGATGTCTTTTTTTGCTAAGCAAATAGAAAAAAAAAAGGTCAGTGTTGCTTACATGTGGCATATGATTGTGAAACCATAGTTTCGGATCTCGAAGCGGAGCATAGATCTCGTGGTTCTTCTTCAGACATTCGCCTAGAGTCTTGGTGCGTTCGTCTGTTAACTTTACCACGGAGAATGTCGGTAGAGGAGTCAGTTCATGACCATGGGCGCGGCCATTGTAAGTCGCTGGGTCGGCGGCTGGAGCCATCTTGCTTGCTGGTTTGTTAAACTTCGCTTGCTCGAATGGGTAGCTTGGTTCAAGAAGTTGGAGGCCGGTTGTTCAGTGGCTTGCTGGACATCGGTCGGCCTGGACATAAACATTTATAATGCACTGCTCGTGTGTGGCATGCTCGTGTCCGTATAGGTTGTGATGGATGATGGTCCATTCAGACCGAGCATTCGGGTTCGGTCCCTAGTTGGCCCCGAGCGTCCCACCGGGACCTGTGTCGATCGTGGTAGCCCGTCAAGTTGAAGTCGTGTTCTTGAAAATCTGGGGACAATGGACCAATCGTGGGGGTAGTCGTGGTTCTGGCCAGTAGATGGCATTGTATTGGCATTGCCATCACCACTGGCACCTCGAAGGGTTTCTAGTTCACTCCGCATTATCTTTAGTGTGCGTTTGGCGGGTACGGGGCTACCGGGGCACTTTGTGTTCCTCCACAATCTCTCCGGTCTCTGTGAGGATGAAAAATGGTTGATTTGTAAAGAGTGAACGAGACGAATTTGTGATTGTTACTCGCCTCTGATGACTCCCGACACTATTGAGTCCAGATGAACGCTTAGTAGTACCCTCACTATGGCCTCAAGCGTTCACCACTTCAATGACAGTTAGGCAAACTGTTGTTTTGACTTGTATAGCAAAATGACCCGGTCGAACGATGAACACGCCCTAAGTGACTTGATTGTCTGATATCATGTGCGAAATCTGCAAACCAACTGTATGGCACTTGGTCACGGGTTGCAGTTCCCTCATGCAGGCCTCCCGGCGACCAATGAATGGACGGTCCAAAACCCAGGAATATAAGCACAGAAACCCATTAACACCCTGAGTGCAAGTTCAGGTCCATACTTTGCAGGCTGGTCGCCCTTCTTGCTGGAGACACCCACCGCCTTCAACTTTTCATAGCCTGGAACCGTGGCCAGCTCAACGAACCCTGCGGCTAAGTCAGGGTAGGATACCGCAAGACGTACTGATTCGGTACTGATCTCATGACCGCTGGGCTCATCTTCCACCAGAGCACCAGGTTGGATAAGGGTAACATCGACAAGATCTGGGTGAGATTGGAGTAGGGCTGTACCTCGACGAAGATCAAGATATGGGTAGTAGAAGGCATTCGAGATGAGCCAGTGGACAATGGCTGGCCGGTGGGAAGCAAATCTTTCGTTCCATGTAGACGACGACAACAAGAGCAGCCGAGGCTTGCGCCAGTTGGGAGTCGAGCCTTTCAAGTCTTGTAAAGCCGCAACCACCGATTTCGCCCCGTCCTCAATTACGGAGACTCCCTTTAGGTTATCGTTCAATCCAAGTGTGAAAATGATAACATCGACTCCCGACAGACATTTCTTCATGCTCTCGACATCGTTTACCGGCGCGATAAAAATTGAGACGCGCGGGTTCTTGTCCAGGCCGGGAAACAGTGCGAGCAACTTGGGCCGCGAACGTGCATAAACCCGCAAATTGACGTTTGGCTTTTCGATCAATTGTTCAACAACGTTTCGGCCGGTCAGTCCAGTGCCTCCAAGAACTGCGATTGTAATTGCCATGTTATGACTATGAAAAAGGGTCTCTCTCAGTTGACGTGCACGAGTATTGGTGATTGTTTTGAGGACGGTCCAGGTCGAGAGCAAATACAGCTGGGCTGCACCTGTGAGTGTAACAATTGTTCAGATCGAGGAAGTGTTCGACTGATTGATATCTAGGCCCTTGGGAAGGGGCTATAGGAGACCTATCCACGGGTCCCGTGCCGATATCTCCCCAGGTTTTGGCTCGTTAGTCCCACCACTGCGGGACGATCCCAGATTCACAAACCGTAGCTTTGACGAATTGTGATGCTACTATGCCACATAAGCTTCCCTTAAGGTCTTGACTTGCGGAGTATTGTGTACTATGCAGACCTGGAGTATCAGGTCAGCTATCTGGGGAAGAATACGTAGCTTTCTTGGGCACCATGTACTCCCATGGAAAGTGCCAACAACGTGGAAGCCCGTCCAGGATCTTCTGGTTAGATATCCCAACCCAGGAGAGGGCATCCGTGTGATTGAAACCCCTCCGATTGCGGAGAGGTCTACGTACTTGCCGTAGTCCACTTCCACGAGTCCTGGATGGAGAAAGATCGCCTCGAGTCGGACGAGGGTGTGCGCCGAACAGCGAGGAGGTCCATGACAATGGCACAGAGTCAGCTTGAAGCGATGTACTACTAGGTAGTTTTGGCTAAAGTGGCAGCCTTGCTAGTGGGGCAGGTAAAGCCCACTAATTCCCAGAAGGTACTAGGGGATAACTGCAAACAGCCAACGGACAATGACAGGATCCGGCTAACACAAATTAAGTATAGCTGCCGACTGGGCAAAGTCGGAGGATGGAGGATTCGTCCACCGACTCGGACATTTCGGATCCCGTGCGGAGCAGCAACACACATTTTGTCTGCCAGGCATCGATGCCACCGCGCGCAGTGTACCCAAGCCTCGAGTGTACCGGCAGCCCAATACGATGCCGCTTCCCCTGCTCGCAGAGGGCTTTAACCGTGGGTTATACAACAGTCCCTATGTGTGGACCGTAGGAAAGGCCGCAGCGGTCATAGGGGTTGTGGCCCTGCTCAAAATATACTTTGAGGGAGCGAAATGTCGTTCCGAACGAGTGATGCACGGGAAGGTGGTGATGGTGACAGTATGATCTCTACCCACCGGATTCAAGTCTCGAGACAGGTGACTGACAAAGCACTAGGGAGGGACATCAGGCATTGGCGCCGCAGTTGTGCAGGAGCTGGCCTCGAGAGGAGCACAGATCATTATCCTCACCCATCATGCACCGTCCGATCCGTTCCTGGTCGATTACATTGAAGACCTGCGGACGCTGACCAACAACGAGTTGATATACGCCGAGCAGGTCGACCTATCCTCCCTACATTCGATACGACTGTTTGCCACCAAATGGGTGGATAACGCGCCTCCTAGAAGATTGGACATGGTCATCCTTTGTGCCAGTGTGATGACACCTTATTTCGGGACAAGCCAGACCACGGTGGATGGACTGGAAGCGGAATGGGAAATCAATTATCTCAGCAACTTCCATTTGTTGAGCATCTTGTCTCCAGCCATCCGAGCACAACCAGCCGATCGGGACGTCAGAATACTGTTCAGTACATGCAGTAGTTATATTGGAGGAGAGTTGGACTTGAATACCACAACCGCTCCCACAAAGTCTGGAAGCGCGTCATTCGCTAGGAGCAAGTTGGCGGTCATGACCTTTGCGCATGCATTTCAAAAACACCTTGATGCGTACAAGCGCCCGGACAAGCAACCGAACAATGCCCGAGCTTTTATCATTGACCCGGGCTATTGTCGAACTCCGGGCATGCGACGCTGGCTGTCAGGAGGCCTGATATGGGGTCTATTTCTCTATCTCCTTACATGGCCAGTTTGGTGGCTGATCCTCAAATCTCCCGTGCAAGGGGCGCAGAGTTACCTCTTTGGAGCAATGGATGCTGAGTACGCACAGGGCGTTGGCGGCAAAATCATCAAAGAGTGTCGAGAGTATCAATCTTTACGCCCAGAGGTGCAGGATGAAGAAGTGGCGAAGACACTCTGGGAGTTCAGTGAGAAGCAGATCGAGCAGCTCGAGAAGCAAGGTGCGGTCAGGAGGGCTCTTGCGAAAAAGGAGGCAGAACGCCAGACTTCCAAAGAAAATTCCACAAAAGAACCCGCGAATGCTCAGGCCTCTGGAGGGGAGAAAAAGCCAACTTCTGGATCCAGGAAAAGTCGAAAAGCGAAATGAGCTAAATGATATACTGAATATGCTGCCTTGTCTCCCACTCGCACTTTCACGGAACATGAAAGTCCACTCGGGGAGGAGGAACAACACAGTAATCCCTCAATGGATCCAATCGTTGGATGTTTCAGTGGACAAGCCTGATCGCGCCGACGAAGCTCAGCCAAACATCCTTGAATCTACAAAGTGTGCCGGCCGGTCAACCACGTGGGCTACCGGATATGTATAGATTATGTCGGCGCCCTCGGCAAAATGCGAGCCTAAGGCATCAGCTCGAAGCACCCTTCAAATCAACATCACATGGCTGTATGACAAGAGTTAAACATCTGCATCTGATGGAGACATAGGCCCTAAACCAGGTTTGCGTCTGGTGCGAGCGAACATTCGTGCTGTTGAAGGCAAAAGGCCCCAGCCTATGCTTACACAGGATCGGGCTCCTGGTTCGCCGTGGCGAAAAAAAGCAGCTACCAGCGCTCACAACATTGCTCCTCTCATACCGGAGTCAATCTGGAAGCGGCGTGTGCTTGGGTGCAATGACCTCCGTGTAGCATTATTGCAGCACTCACATTTTGGTCAGGAGGAAACAATGGATGGATATGCACCAAGCAACAAAGCTGCCAGTGCTCGTGTGTGGAGCAAGGGACATCCAAACCACGATTCCTTATCCACGACCAATCCGGTTGACGACGATGCGTTCGAATCTCCTGCGTACTGCGTGCACATAGCCCGAGGCCGATTCCCTTGGTATTGTTCCTAATATGGAGACTGTCCCGTCTGCGGCTTCATTCGGATAGATGAGATGTTCTCTCCTTGATGGTGTCGGTCGATGCAGCCCTCGTAACCAAGAGAAATCGCAGGCACGAAGGAGATGGCAGTCCAAAGCGCCATGCAATGTCATACGCAATGGCGCCATGTGAAGACATCCAGACATACCAACAATTTGCTTTGGGCCGAAGATACCGTACCTGTGATCACCGATCACTTCGTGCAGCGGACGACTTCAAGTTTAGTATTTGCAATCCTTTCCGCAACGGCAGAAGCTGATCTGACTCGTTTTTCTGTCGCTGGAGATAACCTGGAATTCTACCGATGAAATCCCCCGTGGGGGTTAACTGCCGATAAAGGTATCGAAGTGCGGCTGCCGTGCAAAGTCTGTTGGACGGTATGGATTCAGTCAATTCTGGCTGGCAGACAATGATGTGGCCACTCGGCCAATCATCTCCTGTCGATATCATCTCAGAGTCCTGAAGGCGGTGGTGATTCCGCTCTCCACGATCGTGGGCGGAATGATGGAAGGGTCTTTGGCTGGACATGCCCCACAGATTTGCCATCCCCTCACAAACATTCCGGGGTTGGTGCTTCTTATATGATGCTTGGTCTTGCACATCGAATTCATTATGTCTTAAGCCTCGACTGTCCCTCTCATCAGTCCCTTCCATTCATTAAGAGCAGTTCAGTAAACACCTGCAGAGATGATTGACAACCTACTCTCCGAGCTCGTGGGCCGCGCCCAGGAATCGCCCATCACATTCCTTGCATACTTTGCTGCAGCCTCGGCTGTGTTATACCTGATTATTACCGAGATCCAAAGGAGTCGGGTACGAATTCCAGGTTTCGATGGCCCAACTGGCCTGCCCATGATAGGCAACATCCACCAGATCAGAACCAATGCAGCAGAACAATATCGATTATGGTCGAAGAAGTTTGGCCCCGTTTACCAGATCATGCTGGGAAATGTGCCTGTGATTGTGGTGAACAGCGCCAAATCTGCGAAGGAGATCTTTGGAGCCAACTCGCAGGCCCTCGCGTCGAGACCGGAATTCTACACTTTCCACAAGGTCGTGAGCTCCACGGCCGGCACCACCATTGGAACGTCACCCTTCAGTGAGAGTTTGAAGCGCCGAAGAAAGGGTGCTGCGAGTGCCTTAAACAAACCAAGTGTGGCAACCTACATCCCCCACATCGATGTCGAGACGAGGGATTTCTTGAACGAGTTCTTGTTGTACGGTGAAGGAGGCCGGAAGCCAGTTGACCCCATGCCGATGATCCAACGTCTTTCCCTGTCTTTGGCTCTGACCTTGAACTGGGGTACACGTATGGCCTCCCAGAATGACGAGTTGTTCGGCGAAATCACACATGTCGAGGAAGAAGTGTCCAAATTCCGATCCACGACAGGAAATTTGCAAGACTACATTCCGCTCCTACGTCTGAACCCATTCGACCCCGGCCGAGCAAAGGCAAAGGACATGCGACGTCGACGAGACATTTATCTGAAGAAGCTCAACGACGATCTGGACCAACGCATGGCTATGGGCACCCACCAGCCTTGCATCCAAGCCAACGTGATTCTGGACAAGGAAGCCAAACTCAACCAGGAGGAACTGGTTTCGATCTCTTTGACCATGTTGTCTGGCGGTCTTGACACTCTCACAACCCTCGTTGCATGGTCGATGGCCCTGCTGGCGCAACATCCCGAAATCCAGGAGAAGGCACTCAAGGAGATTCGAGCTGTATATCCCGAAGACCAGATCCTATGCGATGCCAACGATGACCAATCCATTCCGTACATTGTCGCACTTGTCCGCGAACTCCTACGCTACTACACTGTGTTGCGTCTTGCGCTTCCCCGGGCGACTATCAGAGATATCACATACAACGGCCATGTCATCCCCAAGGGCAGCGTCGTCTTCCTGAACGCCTGGGCTTGCAACATGGACCCTGAGGTGTGGGATGATCCAGAGGTTTTCCGGCCAGAGCGTTGGCTGGAGCATCCTGACGCGCCTATGTTCACATACGGTCTCGGCTACCGCATGTGTGCCGGCAGTTTGTTGGCGAACCGTGAGATGTACACCATTTATCTGCGTCTGCTGTCGGCATTTGACATTCGCGATGTCGAGGGTATTGATGGTGGTCCTGTCAACACCCACCCTGTGAAGGGCGTTGTTGATCCTACTCAGCTGGTCAGTGTGCCGAAGCGGTACAAGGTCAGGCTGGTGCCCCGGGATGAGGCGGGTTTGAGAAAGGCATTGGATGAGTATGTTGACGAGAAGCATTAGTTGGGTGGGCGCGGGACTTTGTCTGAATTCTGCACGTCAGTGGGATTGAGGATCGTACATTCGAGCATAACACAGCATAGCACAGTATGGCACAACATGGCCTCTGGCTCGCTGCGCATCAGGGGGCGTTTAGGGCTCAAAGGGGTGGTAGCATCGGGTTAAAATCCAAGCAGTATCATATATTGATTTCACTCTAAGTCTATACCCTGTAAAGCCTTTCTAAAGTTGGTTCTCTGTCTATCGGTTCTTTTTCCCTTCTTTATCCCAATGTGCTTTTTCTATCCAAGAACGAAACTGAGCTTGATCCGGGGTGAGGTATGCCACCCATCAATCGACGTGTCGACGCTGAAGCAAAGAGACACAGATGGCTCTCTCCTCTGACCGAACGAATTCAGCTTCGAAACCATGAATCCCCATCGTGACCAAACCCGTGGTACATTTAATTTTCCCCTTTCTTCGTTGTTTCTACCGAAGAAACCTCTTATTTAATAGTAGGCCTCAAATGCGAATTCTCCTCAAACGAATTCGTCCGATACCTCTTGAGGCCTTCCTCCGCGAGATTCTTGACCGTCCTCTTCCCCTCATAAATGTCCTTAGTTTCATCCAAGATAGTCTTCCAATTTTCAAACGTAGTAAACGGGATCCCCTCCTTTTCACACCAAGTCACAAGATCCTGTCCCGCACGGGCAAACAACAAATCCGTCTCACGGGCGGCACTCAGATCACTGACGCCGTCACCTGCATACAACAAGGTAGGACGCTCCTGAGGGGGCATCTTGGAAATAGCGTCCGCATAAGGTCGGATCGTTAGGGACTTATCATGCCCAAACCCACTGTCGTCGTGGAACTTGATGGTCCAGCCGTCAGGAACATCAAGTGAATTTCCCGGAGCACGCAATTGAACTTCGTTGGCGACGATTTCGATGTCGGACATGAGATCTTCCCCCAACAAATGGCGGAGCAGTGTTTCCAGGACGGGGATCATGCCGCTGCTCAACACGATGACGGGCACGTCGTGTTCGCGTGCCCAGACCATGAATTCCTTGAAGTAGGGGTCTAGTGTGATGTTGTCGCGCAGGATTTCGAGCACTTTAGGGAATGGCAGGTGCCAGGAATCGAGCATTTGTTGGAATGTGTTGCGGAAGGTGTCGGTGTGGTTGATCACTGCGTGGAAGAGCTTGCGCCGCTCTTCGTAGCCCATGCCGTAGTTGTCGGTGATGAAGTCGTTGGTGTCTTGGAGGGTGATGGTGCCGTCGAAGTCGGTGAAGAAGATGACTCGGGGCTTTTTGTTGAGGGTCTCGGGGAACGGCATGTTGATGATTGTTTGAGTGATTGACTTGACCTGAATGAATTGACTTGATAGGAATGAAGGACTCGGGGTAACTGTGATGTTACTGGAGATAAGGGATCTTGCGCGATGGATGTGGTTGTTTTGAAAGCGAAGGGACCGTTTGAACAGAGTAGGTGTTTCTTCGATGTTTATTTCGAGAGTGTGATGATCTTTAATTGCAACGTGTTGTAGAGGTTGATCCCCTCCATCGGACCCTTCGCCGATGACCGATTGACCATGGGTCCATCTGGTCAGATATTTTCTGGCGCGGCGCGAATTCGCCCGAACAGGTATCCCGACGGCATGACGTCGGAACCAGTGCCTCGGGAGACCTTCCTCTAGCTTTCGTTGCGCGCCGTAACCGGGGCCCCTAAAGTTTACAAGCTGCAACTTTCCCGAGCGTCTATCAATTGACTCCGAGTCCCCCACTGCCAGTAACTCGGATCCTGGGACGATATGTTATGCATGCAAATCTTTGTTGCTGGTAGTGGCAGGTTAGGATAGGGATTGGCATTGTTGTAGTGGGAGTTTTATCCCGGCTGCTCGCAATGCAGCAAGCTCCCATACGGCTCTCTCAGACAATATGGGCCGTGTTTCGAGCTTCGAAGCCTGCTTCCAAAGAATGTCTCTCACGTCCATACCAACGGCAGTTCTCCTCGGTTGTCCGACAATCATCCTCACAGCCATGGGCCAGACAGACGTCCAGAATAGCTCTTCAAGCTCGATTTTATAGCGAGAGCAAGTCGGATATCGAGAAAAAGGTGGAAGATGCAAAGAGCCGGATTGATGAGAGCTTGGAAGCGCGGGCGGATACAGCGGCGACGGAGGAAACACTCAAACACCCTGAACATGAGACCATTGTCCATACGATCCCCGAGTCGTCTTCTATTGTTCACACGTCCAATGCTACTGCTGGACAAAAGGAACAGCACCGAGCACAGTCGCAATTCCAATCGCAGTCACAGTCACAAACAAAAGCCGAGCCACCGTTTTCTTCCTGGAGAGAGAAACTCCCCTCCGATCTCTCCGCGCGGTACTCCCATCTGCGGACTCGGTTCACGCATTTCATGGACAATTTCCAGACCCACATTTTTACCGCGTCGAGAAGATTGAATGATCTTACCGGATACTCTGGAATAGAAGCGCTCAAGAATGAAATTGAGCGGCAGGAAGCTGTGGTACAGGAATGTCGACAAGCCGTCAAGCAGGCCCGGGAGAAATATACCCAAGCCATAGCCACACGAAGCACTACTCAACGCGAGGTCAACGACCTCTTACACCGCAAACACACCTGGTCACCTACCGATCTCGAGCGCTTCACGAGCCTTTACCGGTCTGACCATGCGAACGAGCAAGCTGAAGCCGCGGCCGCCAAAGAAGTCGCCGACGCCGAGGCAAGGTATGAAGAGGCCTCGACCAGACTGGCACGAGCCATCCTTGCCCGGTACCACGAGGAGCAGATCTGGAGCGACAAGATCCGGCAGATGTCGACATGGGGCACTTGGGGTCTGATGGGGCTGAACGTGTTGTTGTTTGTGGTCTTTCAAATCGCCATTGAACCCTGGCGCCGGAAAAGGCTGGTCAAGGGATTCGAGGAAAAGGTCGAGCTAGCTTTGAAAGAGACCATTGATGAGATCAACGCTGGACAGGTGGTGCAAGCCGTCCCATTGGCGGCGGCTGCGGCCCAACCGACCCAGGCAGCCGTGCAACCTAACGAAAAAGCTGCCGTTGCAGCTCTGTCGCCTGGCGAGAAAGTCGAGGCCGTCGCCGACAAGATTGCCGAACAGATTGTCGACGCTGTTTCGGGTGCCAGCGACACTTCCCCAACGGAGGAAGTGGCTTCTCCTCCACTTGCAGCATCAACATCAACAGAATCGACGACCGCGACAGCAACAGACACTATGAAACCCACATCGTCTCTCCCATCAGATTCCCTCGTCGAAGCCGCCGCAGAGCAGCTCACCACCGAGGAACTCGCGGCCGAAGAAGTCCAGCAAGAATCTCCCGCCGAGACTACTAATACCATTCCGCAAGAACCACTGTTGTCTCCCACTCCTCTCTCCGGAACGTCGCGCTGGGTCCCGCCTACATCCCCGCTCGCGTGGTATGAAGACAGACTAAAAGCACTCTTCAGCGATGAACATCTCCTCACCCTCACGCAGCGACAGCTGACCACGATTGCCATGGAAGGTGTGGCTGGTGGCATGGCGCTAATGGGCCTGTTGTTTGTGATTTTCAAGCCTAAATGAAATGAAAATTACTGCAGATATACCGTGTAGAAAAGAACCTTTGCAAAAGGAATTCAATCGACAATCGAGATGTATATAGTGTTTTCATGACCAGGTCAGCCAAGCATGTAAAGAAAGACTGTGCAATGTACGTGGATTGTATAATATTGGATGCATATGCACACCCCTTGGTGTACTACTAGTAGGTAGTATATAAATCTATCAATACCTTGTATTTGAGCTCATCCATGGATACTCGGACAGCAGCTACAGAAGCCAGAATAGCCTCCCATCTTGACTCGACAGTTGCAGTTCGCGCTCCTAACATTTAGGTTGTTAAAAAAGGACCTCACAGCCGCTGCAAAAAATTGGGTCAAAAAAGTCAACTTAAATCGGACTATGATAACATTGAAATGTTTTGATTCATCTTGCAGTAGGAATTCCGCTTCTGCCCTCCACCAGCAGTAGCGGCTGTAGCACAAGACAATACTTGGACAGTCACGCATTATCACCCAAGCGCCCCTTGCAGTCTCTCTAGATATGTACACAACTCAACTGCTCTACGAAGAAACCCTCAAGAGCAGCCGGTATGTTCTTTGGCGAATCCGGAAAACACGACTTGCACTCGGCTGTTCCCCCTCTCTCCCATCAATTGATTCGCGAGAGTCAGAACGATCGGATTTCCATGTATGTAAGGTGATCGAGACATTTAACCAATAACCAACTTGTCTTCTTCGGGGAAATCGTACTGCGGAACCTCGAGGTTCAACGGAGCAGGACCTTTCCTGATACGGCCGGAGATATCGTAATGCGAACCGTGGCAAGGGCAGAACCAACCACCGAAATCACCGGCCTCGCCAATGGGGACACATCCCAAATGCGTGCATACGCCCAACATGACTAGCCATTCTGGTTTCTTGACACGGTCGGAATCGGGTTGCGGATCACGGAGGACGGACAGACTGTATAGATATCAGTATCTGGAAGCTCGGGGAAAAGCAGCAAAATCAAACATACTCGACAGATTCGGCCTCTTTGATCTCATCTTCCGTCCGGTGACGGATGAAGACAGGCTTGCCTCGCCATTTGATGATGACGTTCTTCCCTTCGGGGATGGAGGCAAGATCGATTTCGACCTTGGCTTGAGCCAACACATCGGCGGATGCAGACATGTTGACGAGGAAATCTTTTCATCTTGTCAGCTAACCATGGTGTCGCTAAAGACCAATTTGAGGGAGAAAGAAATCATTTTGCTCTTCTCTCCCTCTCTTTCCTCTCGTACTAACCCTGAACAGTGGCCTTTGCTCCAACAGCAGTCAACAAACCCATGGATCCGACCATGAAGTATTGGAACACTCGGTTGGTGACCTCGGGGGTTCGCGCCTGGTAGGCCTTGAAGCTCGGGACCTTGGTGGTGTCATATTTCTTCGCTCGGTCCTTGGTGGTGGTAAATGGGCTCTGGAAGCTCGAGCCCTTGCTGGCTACCTCGCCGGACTGTAGACGCCGTTGCTGCGAAATCGAGCTGGTCGGAGCTGAAGCTGTGGCGGACACGGCCAACCGGGAAGATGGCGATGCGGAAGTGGGAAGAGTGTGTCGGGTCCAGCTGCGCAAGGCAGAGCCCGCGGACGCAGGGACTGGACGCATCGTGAAACTCTAGTAGCGGGAGTAGAGAGCGAAAGAAAGGTCGAGGTCGGCGTCTGAGTAGGGAGTTGAGGTCTTGAGGTCGCAATGCTGCTGCTGCTGTCCTGCTGGTGACGAGAGGCGTTTGGCGAACTTCCTCGAATTGAAGGTCCAAAGCCAAGCCTGCGACCCGGCTCTTTTTGCGTCAACGCTGATTGGCTGCAGCCACAATTACCACTGGCTGGAACTGTTGCTGCTCTATTGGCCCGCTCAACCAACATCAATTCCGCGTCAATCAGCTCAGCTACTTTACATTCTACTATTACTAGTACATCGTACACCCGATCGTGGCTCTTAAGCGTCCAGGGAGACAAGGGATACTGTGTGCTGGTGATGTACCAAAGGTCATGAACCCTATACAAGGTATTTATTCTGAAATACTCCTAATCCTGCGCCGGCAACGCTAGCACCAACCAGTATTCGCCCAAAAACCATACAGCGTAACATGAAATAGAATACAGTGCTCCAGCGGCCATACCACCTCGCAGTTTACGGCTTCGTTGCATCAAACCAATCCAAAAGTCAAGACCTAGCCACTCATCTCGATGTCTCGGACCGGGTCAGGATGGCTGTGAGTCCGCTGATGAGCCGACCTGTGGGCAACTGGGCCGCTTGGGTCTGTGCCGTCGGCATGTGAAGAGCCGTTGACCCCATTGACGCCGTTGCCGTTTTGCTGCTGGTTCTTCATCATGTCCTGTATCGAGATCGAACCATTCTCTGCGCCCGCTCCGTTAGTTGCTCCCGAAGACGATGCCGCTTGCGCGGCGGCTTCTCGGGCCTTTTCTTCCCTATATTGGCGATATGTCTTGGTCTTGGGGACAGTATCGGACAGGAATTCAAGATTGTCAATTCTAGATATCGCCGTGGCTGGGATACGGTCAGAAAGTGCCTCATGCTTCGTTATATTGCTGCATTAACTCACCGACATCTTTATATGCAATATTTCGCCGCGGTTTCCGCTCGGATTTGACGACATTATATGCTTGTTCTGTTAGGTAGCGGATGAAGATCTCCTGGAAACGTGTTAGAAGGCTGCCACAGCGTCCCCTTTCGACGGACTTACTGTAGCAACTGAGATTGCGAAGGCACCGGTGGTGGAACATTGCCCAATCTCATCGTCCATCGCAATGATCTTTTTCACCCTCGCAACTGTAGCCGAGCGAAGTCAGCCGTTTGCGCGGTTTCACCGCAGGGATTGACTCACGTGGAAGAGCCGATGTGCCCTTGATCTCATCAGACCGCTCGATGGGCGCATTGTTATACGGCATCGTGCCTCCAGAATTGTTGCCCGTGCCTCAAGACGACTGCAGAAATCCTCCGATAAATAAAAACAACCTTGATATAACCTGGTGAGTCTCTCACAAGGGCGGGTCGCTTGGTAGATCAGTGAAAGCGAGGCCGTTTGTAGAATTTCTGGATTCACCCTATAGTAGGTCGCGTAGAGCAGTGGTCGAGCGTATCGAATGTCTTATCCGGCGCCCGTAGGAGAGATAGATTTCTCTAGAGATCGATGCTCTAACAGCTGGTATTGCTTATCCGATTTCTTCAGTAATTCGTGTACTCCAGCCGTGGCAGGTCGCGTCAAATGTTCCCATGTCACGTTCTGGGCGCGTCCGAAAGAGGAAAAGTGATAGGCCTAGGAGGACCCCGAGTCCAAATGCTAAAGTGTTCCCTCCTGCGAATACCTTCGCCGAGCGATCCGCGGATTCCTTGATCTATTGATGGTATTCGACACCCTGATATATGTTATCGGCCATGGTAGATGACCCGGTGTTATGACCTCGCGCGTTTCCAATTCGTCGCGCCGTCCCTCGCTGTCTGCCAGGCGCCTATCTAGACGTCTATCCACCTTCTCCAGCCTCGAACATGGCGAGCCCCGACCTCAGGTTGCCCCGGTCGAGCAGGCCATTACAGAAGAGATTGCCGAGATAAAGCGCTATGAAGACTTTACTACAATCGACTGGGTTCAAGATGCGGCACAAGAACAGTTGCGCAGACGCGCCCGGCGGAAACAGTCCAAGTTTTTCGAAAGAGACGGAGTGCTGGGATGGCGCCGCAAGCTCTGGGAGTCCTATGACGCGGCCCAAGCCTGGGTCGTGATCACTCTGGTTGGAGTCGTAATTGGTGTCAACGCTGCGGCATTGAATATCATTACAGAGTGGCTGTCGGATATCAAGACGGGCTACTGCACGACCGCCTGGTATCTCAATGAAGACTTCTGTTGCTGGGGTTCTGAGAACGGGTGCGACGAATGGCGGAAATGGACTTCATTCAGTTTCGTGAACTATTTAGTCTACACCATTTTCGCCCTTTTGCTTGCTTTTGTTTCAGCTTATCTGGTCAAATGCTACGCGCCTTACGCGGCCGGCTCTGGAATTTCCGAGATCAAGTGCATCATTGCGGGCTTTGTCATGAAAGGCTTCCTTGGATTCTGGACCTTTCTCATCAAATCAATCTGCTTGCCGCTGGCCATCGCTTCTGGCCTGTCTGTCGGCAAGGAAGGGCCAAGTGTACACTATGCCGTCTGTGTCGGCAATGTCATTTCACGATTTTTCGACAAATACCGGCGGAGTGCTTCCAAGACACGAGAGATATTGACAGCAACTGCCGGGGCAGGAGTCGCCGTGGCGTTCGGAAGCCCTATTGGCGGTGTCCTTTTTTCACTGGAAGAAATGGCCTCCCACTTTCCATTAAAGACTCTTTGGCGGAGTTATTTCTGCGCTTTGGTCGCAACGGCAGTGTTGGCAACCATTAACCCATTTAGAACAGGACAACTCGTCATGTTTTCCGTTAAGTACGACCGAGACTGGCATTTCTTCGAAGTCGTTTTCTATATCATCCTCGGCATCTTCGGTGGCCTTTACGGTGGCTTTGTCATCAAATATAACCTCAAAGCTCAAGCCTTCAGAAAGAAATACCTATCCAAATACGCCATCCCTGAGGCCGTCGTCCTGGCGGGGGCGACAGCGATTCTCTGCTACCCCAACATGTTCCTGAGAATCGACATGACCGAAATGATGGAGTTGTTGTTTCGAGAATGCGAGGGCGACAATGATTACAACGGGCTATGCGAGCGTAAAAACAGACCGATGCTGATCGCATCGTTGCTATTCGCCACGCTGATGCGCATTTTTCTTGTCATCATATCCTACGGTTGTAAAGTTCCGGCAGGTATTTTCGTCCCATCAATGGCGATTGGCGCCTCTTTTGGACGGACCTTGGGAATCATAGTGCAGTGGTTGTATGAAACCTTTCCGGACTCCCGGTTTTTCTCGGCTTGCCAGCCAGATGTGCCCTGCATCACACCGGGCACTTACGCTTTCCTGGGTGCTGGAGCTGCCCTCAGCGGCATCATGCATCTGACGATCTCGGTCACAGTCATCATGTTTGAACTAACCGGCGCTCTGACTTATATCCTTCCCACTATGATCGTGGTTGGCGTTACCAAGGCCGTGGGAGATCGGTTCAGCAAAGCCGGTATTGCGGATCGAATGATTTGGTTCAACGGGTTTCCATTCCTTGACAATAAGGAACAACATACATTTGGAGTGCCCGTGTCTCAAGTCATGACTGCCCACGTCACGATGTTACCTTCGAGAGGAATGGAAGTCAAGGCGGTACAAAAGTTGCTTGAGGACACAAAATATTCTGGATTTCCCATTGTTGAAGATGTTGAATCGAGGATCTTGGTCGGCTATATCGGACGAACCGAGCTCCAATTCGCTATTGACAAGGCGAAAAAGACTGGCCTGCTGGCATCCGACGCCAAATGTATATTTGTTGCAGAGGAACCCGATGGCAGCCCGCTCAGCCCAGCTGTTTCTTTCGAATCCATGGCAACAAAAACCGTGGATATCAGCCCGTATGTGGACTCAACGCCCATCAGCGTGCATCCACGGCTGCCTCTAGAAACGGTGTTGGAACTCTTCCAAAAGATGGGACCACGTGTCATACTTGTGGATCACCATGGTCGATTAGAAGGACTGGTTACCATCAAGGACTGTCTGAAATATCAGTTCAAGGTTGAAGCGCAGGAACATGCTCACGCACTTCGGGACGAATCAACTCCACACCACGAGCGGATGGTCGACCTACTCAGCCGTGCGAGAGATTATTTTGCCGACACAATTAACAATCTATCACGGGGAAGGTTGAGATTAAGCCCTCGGGTTCGTCATGGTTTTAGTAGAGTGTCTGGACGGGATAGACATGGTGATTATGCTGACGATTACAATAACGAACGGGAAATACTGGACGGAACGGAAGATCTTGCGGAAGACGGCGTTGAACTCGAAACTAGACCGAATCATTGAAGGATAGTATATATGTTAATGCCATGGATGTCACGACTATACCTTCGGACTGGAACAATAGGACCTCAAAGGACCAGGCCTGGAGCATTTCGAACATCTTAGGGACTCTTTCACGAAGGTTCAAGTCACGCTCATGTCACGCTGACTTGTGAATTAGCAGAGCCTCATTGACCCGACTCTGCCGTAAATAGAATATCAGCCTTCACGCGAGGGACTCGACCTTATTATCAGCTGCGCGGTATGGTTTGTTTTCCGCAGTCTTCTCTTTCTTACTCACTCTTCTCTTCAGGTTGCTTCATGCGCAATACCCGATTCTGGCAACGCGACATCCTGCTCTGATAGCTGCGACTTCTCTGGTTTACCCTGCTCATATTATTATTGATCAACAATGTCGTCGCCGGCACCTTCCCCACTACTTCGTCGTCGGGGCCATAGGGGCAACCTTGAGATCAAGACTTCATTCACCACTAATGTCAGCGAATCTATCCTTACTCTGGAAGACGAGCTCGCCGAGGCCCTAGACAGCACATTTCTCGAAGTCGCGACAGAGACCGGTGGTGGTACCGTTACGGAGCCTGGTGACGCGCAAGACAGCCGCGATCGGACTGCAGAGGTACAGTCTCAGATCGACAAAGATTCCCCAGCCATGACTTCAACTCGTCCATCATCCCAGTCAGTCCACGGTGACGACTCGTTCATGAAGATCAATGAAGAAGGTCTCAAGGAATGGCGCAAGCGTTTCGAAAAGATGAAAGCAGCACTGACTTCAGAGACAAATGAGTCTGGAGGTACACATCAGAGAACCACAGTTGCCTTGCTCAACCACGCGTCCGCGATCTACAACTGGCTAACAAAGTCTGTGACACCATATCTGGTAGACCTAGCATCCCAGAAGAAGACGTTGCAGGACGAGAATGATTGGCTTCGTCGCGAGATCGAACTGCTGCAGGACGAAACTGGGGAGCTACTGGAGGCATACTGGGGCGAGTGTGAGGTCAGCAGGGGCAAAACATCGATGCTGCTGGAGATGAAGGGCATGCTGGATGAGATCGCTCGAACGGAAAACCAGGGCGAGGCGAGCGTTCAAATCTGAGCCCAGAACGACCATCAAGATACTGGCAGGGAGGGAAGCTGCGGCGATCTTCCGTGTGTGATGGACGCGACTATGACTTCAGTGACAGCGCCCTTATGGCCGTCTTCAAAGCGCAGATCAACAGGCTTTGAGGGGCATAGCTAGCTGATCATTGTTATTATTGAATACTTGCTCGTCCATCTCACTTGAACCATAACATCTGTGCCCTGCTTGTGCCCAGGTTGACCTCTTCAGTGACAGTCCGTTTCCAGAAACGACCGAAAAACTAGTTGTGTTAGGAGTCGTGTGCAGTAACATCTCGACTTCGGTCTTCGGGACCGAGAATCAGCACGTTACAAAGACGCCAACAAATGAAATGCTCTGTAAAATCAAATCTCGCCCTTGTGCATCATTTCGACGCGGAATGAACCCCGACCGTCACCGACGTGGATCGCTCGATCGGATCGTGTCCAAGTTTCTGTCCTGACACCAAGGGGAGAGGAGAGGAGAGCCATGTGGTATTTCATCCACTATGAGTGATCACTCTTACCGGCGGCAGCCCGTATTTCGCACAATGGCATCCTTATTTCGCACACCGATCCCGCTTGATGCCATGGTTGGGATTGGCTTCAAACTTCAGACAGCAAGGATCCATGAGCGATATTCGGTATTGCTCCTCTCCTTTATCTCTACTGCATTATCGTACTAAGCACACCAACAAGCTTCTCAGACCAGAGCTTCGTCTGATGCCCAGTCGTTAACGTCGTCGACTGGGCGTCTAGATGCAAAGATGTCCTCACAGCGCAACAACAACGTTGTACCGTGTTGTAGCTACCAGAACTAGTAACCCAACAGTTGTGGAGTTATCTTATCAGATGGGGACTTTCCCGTAACCTTGAATCCACTTCCCACGGCGGCCATTTGAGTTTCTGAACTTACCAACCAATCGAAGCTTTACATCAAACGGTCCATCGACTGACAAGACTCGGTTAGCTTCACAACGAGAACCGCAACAAATATTTCTCGTTACCTAAAGTGCAATGACTAGTGAAGCTTGGGAAACATGGTCCGAATTGAAAAGGAGCAGCTTGAAATCCATCACCCAACCAATGTAAAGCTACCTACCTTATGGCAGGGCTGAGCTACCCAAGACAAGTGTGAGCTTGTCTAGACCGCCTACAACGTTGTACGGGTTGGGGGTTTGATATCTCTCTCCTTGTCGAGCTCGAATGATGTACAATGTGGTACGATCCCAAGGTATGGACTGTTCTGGTTGACGTCCGCCTTGCGCCATATGTCCACTCGTGTTCACAGAACTCTGCGATTTCGGACGATCACCTCCCCATGATAGTGGAGTCTTAACTTCCCAGAAGACAACCCTGGCAGCCGTTCCAGCATGCTCATCGCTCAGTACCCGCTCCGTTACGCGTCCCCTTCAGAACTCAATCGAAGGGTACCCAAGGTGGGACACTCTTTTGAGAAATGGACTGATCTAGCTGCTGTTCTAGAAGATCTTTGCCAGAAAATACAATGTACGGGATCAGAACTGACCCAAGCGAGATATGATAAGATGAAATTTTTCACATAATCAATCTCTATATACTACCGTTTCCGGACCATCATGGCCTCGCAAGGCTGTGGCCCAGGGGCTCCTGGTATAGACAATCACAAATACCACGTTTGTCCCGAGTGACCATATTATACCATTTCTATTTTGTTATTATTGTGACTTGATTTTACCCTCAAAATCAGGCTCCGGAGTCCATTCGGTCTCAACCTGGCCACGGCCTTGGGCCGGACCAAGGCAAGACCAACGATGCCGACATCCCAGGATCAGCAACAACAGACAGTCACGCCGGAACGGACTATACAGACCAGAAAATTGCGCACAAAGAAGCCAGTGTTCCTGCCGTCGCTTCTTCTGACCACAGTGATGATGAGAAGCTCGTCGACCCGAACGAACAACGTGGTGTGCAACTGGCCGAGGCCATGACCACGGTGTGGACCACGCGAGATCTAATCATGGCTTATGTCTTGTAAGCAAACATCCTATTACTTAGCCGGACATTATATGGGAATGGATATATGCTGACTCTGTTCTCTATAGCATCTGGATCATTGAATTCATCCTCGGCTTTTCATCCGGCATCAAGTTCGTTCCAGATGCACTCCTTAACCGCAACAGCAAGCATCATCTCCAGTCTGATCGGTGGAATTTTCAAACTGCCCTTTGCCAAAATTATGGATATCTGGGGCCGCCCATAAGCTTTCATATTGATGGTGATATCCATCACTGTCGGTTTGATCATGATGGCCGGATGCAACAACGTCGAAACATACTGCGCTGCACAAGTCTTCTACAACGTGGGCTACAACGGGATCGATTTCGCCATGACGATTTTCATCGCCGACACATCGAAACTGCGCAACTGGGCATTTATGATCGCATTCGCTTCATCACCCTGGCTCGCCGTGACATGGTGTTACGGTCCCGCCGCCGATAGCATTTTGAAAACCATCGGGTTCCGCTGGGAATTTGGGATCTGGGCGATTGTTTTGCCTATCACCTGCGCACCACTATACCTGCTGTTCGTGTATAACCAGCGCAAAGCCAAGAAAATGGGCTTGATCCCCGACTAACCGAGCTATGGAACAGCCCTCCAAACAGTTATGTACTACGCCCGCGAGTTCGACGTCATTGGGTTGTTGCTCATCAGCGCTGGAATGGCCTTATTCCTACTCTCCTTTTCTCTCTACTCATACCAGCGAGCGACATGGCAATCCGCACTGATCATCTGTTTCATCGTCATCGGCGGACTGCTGATCATCGCCTTCGCCCCGTGGGAGAAATAATTTGCCCCCGTGACATTTGTGCCCTGGCCACTGTTGCGCAACCGCACCGTTCTATTCACCTACATCATGGCCACCAGTATCTATTTGGCATGGTATATCTGGGACAGCTACTTTTACTCGCTGCTAATCGTGGTGTTCCGCCAAACTGTCATGCCAGCGACGTACATTGGCAACATTTACACGATTGGATCGACGTTCTGGGCATTGGTCGTTAGAGTCTGTATCCGCATCAACGGCCGGTTGAAGTAGTATGCATTATGTTTCGGTGTGCCGATGACCATTCTGGATGTTGGGCTCATGATCCACTTCCGTCAACCGGACGTCAATATCGGGTATATTGTCATGACACAGATTTTCATCGCGTTTGGAGGTGGTACACTGGTTATCTGCGAGCAAATGACTGTGATGGCTGTGTCGAGACATGGAAATATCCCTGCTGTTCTTGCGGTGGAAGCTATGGTTTGTGCTATGGGTTCGAGTGTCGGGTCGACTATTGCTGCGGCTATGTGGACGGGTATCTTCCCCAAGAAGTTGATGAAGAATTTGCCGGATAGTGCAAAGGGCGATTTTGCCTCGATTTATGGCGATTTGACGGTCCAGTCGAGTTATCCGCCGGGCAGTCCGACGAGGATTGCGATCGACAAGTTGTATGGCCAGACGCAGAAGTTGATGTTGATCACAGCCACTTGTCTCTACTCGATCACCCTGTCGTCGACGTTCTTCTGGCAGGATGTCGATGTCAAGAATATCAAGCAGCGCACGAAGGTGCTTATTTGAGCGAGACCATTACAGACTGCAGTATGAGTATGCTGGAGGGAACCGAAGTGGATATTATGGTATCCACTCGAAAGAAAGAACAAAGGAAGACAAAGGGCAAGTCCCTGTGTCTTGGGTTTACATATCGCTTTGGCCATGGCAGCTGGGTTGCCGTATCTTGTCCTTTTCCACCAACTTATGAGCGAGGCAAGATTGAAGGGGGCCATGTTTTCGTCTGACAATAGACACATAAGTAGAAATACACAAGTTCACTAATTGGCATCTTCAACCAATTCCACCCCATGCAATCGTAGTGGTTTCAGTAACAGCATCCATAGAAACAGCAATACTTCCCTATATACCTATCTACCTACCCATCTCCCTATTCACTTAAAAGAATAAATCAGCCTACAACCGATCCAACACCTCCCCCGTCCTCAAAACCTCACCAAACGCAAACCCAAACCCCCGTAGGCCAGCCTCATGCTGTTTCCTGTTCGCACTCCCCGAAGCATCCTCCACCAACCACGTCTCATACCCTCGATTAAACGCACTTCTCCCCGTCGTATCCACACAACAATCCGTCATGACACCACATACGACGACGCGTTCCACACCCGCGGATTCCAAGACTTGCGCCAAATTCGTATTAATAAATGCATCATAGGTGTTTTTCGGCACCACTTTAGGCCAGTCATTTACTGCAGAACCTTCCGGCTCCGGCTCCGAATGGCCCAGCGGAATTGCCTTGCCACTGTAGGTAGGTGGTAAGAATCGGTGTAACGGTTCAATGATCTGCCAGTCCTCGGAGCCGGCGGCGATGGATCCCCCGGGACCCCATTTGCGCACGAGTTGGTTGGGGGATGGGGTTGTGGTGAGTTCGGCGCCGGTGTGGCCGTGTTGGGTGAAGATGATGGGGGCGCGGGTTGAAGTGAAGTGCGTGATAAGGCGGATGATGTTGGGGAGCGCCGTGGTGGTCATGGATTCGAAGAAGTTTTGCATGTCGATTACGACGAGGGCGGTTTTGGGTGCCATTTTGGGGGTGGACCAGAGGGGTTTGGTGGTGTTAACAGGTGCTGGCGCTGGTGCTGTGTTGTTGATGATGGTGGTCTGGGGTGGTGGCGATGGTGATAGCGACGGTGGTGGTGATCGTGGTGCCGTCCTGGTTGACGACGTCCTGCAGTATTGCGGGTCCCGGCCTGGAGCGGGACAATTGTTGCCGTGCAATCTGATCTGATCTGATCTGATCTGATCTGATGTCGTTGATCTGATATGATAAGTTGATGTTGATAATGGGTCTGGCCCTTGGTTCCCGGCCGCCGTGGGGTGTATCACAAAGTCAAAGCTACAGCTCCACACGGAGACTTGACCTGTAGTGCTGGCTTTTCTCAAGAACTGCAGTGCAATGCCTGTCTAAAAACACTGTCTCATCCAACGAAGCTGTACTGATGGGTCGTCCGCTTCATACTCAATATTGTAGGAACTTGGAGGAGTCTGGAGTTGGGGTCGTCCGAATGACGTGCACAGTTACAGTCCCAAAAATGGGGCAACCCGAACCCGTGGCGGCACATCATAGAGCGTCGTGATAATGGACCACTGATCCTATAATAATAAAAACAAATATCAAGGTGCATCGGATGCACTTCGTGTCTGATTGGCACCATCGATGTTAGGTCTCGAGGAATTATCCAAGAGCACTGCCAGTGCAGGGTCCATGAGCAGGGGATTGCAAAATGTCTAGATATCTAATAATCATAATCCTTCCAGCTTCAGGACATGAACTGCCTTGGCTCCCCCAAAGGCACTTTTTGCAACACAAGTACCTAGCCAACGGGCGAATCTGATCCATCCTCCAAGAGATTATCAACAATACCTTTTTCGTTTCAGTGTCTGCCAGTGTACTTAGTCTCTACTACTAGAGATCATGTGTACCTTTGGCATCGCAGACAAGGAATATGACGAGTGCCTTCAACGCCCAGACAAGCACAAGGAGCGGAAGCTGCTGTGTAAAAGATGTCCCGCCTCAAAGGCCAAAGGAAAACGCTGCGAAGGAAGCGCGTTCGTGCATGATGAATTACGTGATGTCATTCTTTCTCACCGGCTCAGAAGCCGATGCCCGTATTGCCGCGATTCGGCAGTTTCAGTGGTAATTGCGAAGCAAGACATCGTGGGTTAATCGACGCCTCGTCAAATACTATCAGCTCACGCCCTTGAACAGGTTGATGTTACTGGATAGCCACACTGCCACTACTTCGAGACATGATCAGACATCAACTCCAGACTCGGAGAAGGACAAGGACCCAGCAATTGAACATCTGGGGAGAACTTGAATCGTCTCGTTGCAGTTTGAGAATGGCGGGACAATGAATTAATAAATATATTTAGGACTCGGACTGAAACTGTGGAGTTTGGCTACTTTATTTAGAAATTTACATATAAAATAATCTATCAACAATATCATTATTGAATAACAGATATAAATAGTTAAGGAGAGTAGTTTCTTCCAGGGTAGTTCAAAGTTATTATATGGGTGCCCAACTTAAAGCTACCTGGTAAACCTTAGATGTAATCTATCATACCAGCCACGTGATGTCAGGGACGAAACAATATTGGTTTAAAGTAGTAGCGCCCCCTCCCGCATGTCTCTTCTTTCTCTTCCATCTCATCATGTGCTACACATTCACGCTGAAGAAAACACATGTGAATGATCGCAGGCTTCCGTCCGCATCTACCATCGAGGGACTAGAATGTATCGACGTTGGAAAATCAGGCAATGTGTACGCCCTGGATGCGCGCCGAGTGGTGAAGAGATATGAGGGCGACATTGACGCCGAGATTCGTGCCGAGCGAGAAGTTTACGAACGCCTAGGCCGACATCCCAACATTGCGGAATTTCTAGGCGCTCTGGATGATGGATCAATCATCCTCGAGCGCGGACAAGTACTTCGAGATCGACTACTCGCTGAACAGCAGCAAACGAGTGCTCGCTCCATGATTCCTCTGCGCACAAAATATCGCTGGGTCAAACAGGCGGCTACGGGGTTACAACACCTCCATGACCACAACATCATCCAGGCCGATGTGGGATGTCGAAACATGATCATCGCCCACCGTGACGGCAATTTAAAACTCATCGACTTTGAAGGCTGCAGCATTGATGGCAAAGGGCCGAATTCCTCGTACGAGTGGTTTAGCTACAAGCCATCCACGCCCCGCGCCACGGTGCAGACCGACATCTTTGCTCTGGGCTGTGCAATCTACGAAATCGTGACTGGCAGCCACCCACATTGTGAGTTAAAGGGATTCAAAGACGCCCAAGAGCGCGTCGAGCGTCTGTACGAAAGCAATCAATTTCCCCAGGTGGCCCATCTGCCCATGGGTGCCATCATGCTGGATTGTTGGCAGGGGAAATTCAAGTCGATGCGTGAAATTGTCGAGAGCATCGAACTCCTCAGCCACGGCCAGTCTACCACCAAGTCACGGTACGTCAAAAGCTGGTGGAGAATGATGGCTGTGCAATGACTGCCATTGCCAGCCAAAGTACCGCTTGCAACCCGGCCAAGATGGACCCTGACCGATGGGCCAAAGACAACGCTTTGTCCGAAGATATCGAAGGAATCAGTTTGGGCTCGGGCTACATGGTCCACAATGATCCAGGAGCTTCGCCCAACACTGGATGCAACAGCGATAGATATACTTGCACAAAGCCAAAGCCACTTACACGACCACAACTCCACAAACGTCCGGTCGTCTCCCATCTTTGAAATTGTCTTCCTTCTATCAAATGGCCCAATTCGTAAAGAGGAGCCTGCTAAGGAAGCCGACAATCGAAAAGTTGTCCACCATCGACCGACATTGGCAACTTTCTGGTCTTGCGGAGCTAAAAGGTATCTAATACCATTTATTTTACGTGTGATACGAACCAGACAACAGCACCCAACCGAACACGCGGCGGCCCCGTGGCAGCGGGTCGGAGCGGTTCCACGGATCCACTTCAAGTTACACATGTCATGTCATGTCCATCACCATGTTCATCACTCCACGTCCATGTCCATGTCCATCCTCGCATTTATTGGCATTGGCATTGGCATTGGCAACGTGGGAACTACGTTTCTGACGCACTGTAATAATATAAACTGTAGTACCTACAGTTTGACGTGGGGGGAAACCTCAAGTTGATTTGCTGCCCCTTGATCTCGGCTGAAGGGCACGGCAATTGCTAGTTCACACTTCACAGCAGTACAGTAGTATTGCTTCTGCTTATTCCGCGCTACAGTAGCACACCACACCACACCACACCATACCAACTGTAGGTCTTACGGCCGACTCCTAAGTCGAACTAGAATTGCACAGCATTTCAAGTTGCGCGTACCTAGCTGTGTAGCAGTGAGCCGAAGCCTCCTAATGAGCCCTGCCATGCCAGCATATCCATTTCTGGCAAGCCAGCAAGCAAGTCTTCTCCGGCATTAGGTATTTCGCAGAATGGGGTGTTTATTTCGCAGAACCGCTATCCCTGATTCAGGTAGGATCGTCGATATTACCTATTTAGGTAATTTAAGGTATTTATTTCGCAGAATAGCGCGTATAGACGCGTTAAGTGCCGTTAATGTTCTTACTCGCCGCGCCTTAAACTATAGACGTCTAATTATATAGAAACTACTACTTTTTTGCTATATACGCTATAGAATAATACTCTACTTTTAAGACACTAGTACCGGATATATTCGCCGACTATTAAGCCGACTATAATACTCTCGACGCGTACCTATACGACGCTAGAATTTAGGACGATTCGGAGAAAGAAGATAATTCCGAGAACGATTTCGAGTCGGCGCTAGTTATTTAGTACGAGCGTACGTTCGATTCTCCTCCTTCTATTATCTATTCTAGCGAGTAAGCGTATTTTAAGGCGCTCGATAGGTAATCTATCTTCCGCGGATACGGTATACGTATTTATAAGCGATATAGAGATAGCGTAGATAATATTAAGACTATATATCTCGAGTACGACCGCGCTAGTATCCGTAGTTCGTATTAGATCGCTTCGTTAGATAGAAAGAGATTTAAAGAGTATCTATCGATAGAGTATTAGTTTAAACTTATAATAGTACGGAATAAAGACGGCGAATACTTCGTTAAGACGTCTATAAATATCGAATATAATTATCGTCCTAATAAAGGCTCTAGTTATTCCTTTATAAGAAGAAGAGCGCGTAAGAGAGGCCTAAATAGACTAATTCGTAAGTATTTCGAAGAGGGTTTTAGCGTCTAGAATATCGTATCGATAATTAATAATTATTCGTAGAATATTCCTATAACTACGTAGAATATAAAGAACGAGAGAAGTAGGATTTATTCGATAAATCTCGTAAATAGAATAGCTACTTAGGCGCTTATCGAGCGCGTTAGAGATCGATTCGTCTCGTACGTTAATATTAACGATTAACTAAGGTTACGCCGGCTCGTTCTCTTCTACTACGAGTCGCTCGATCTATAGCGCCGTTATTCTAAGATTATTCTAATCGACGTAACTTATAAAACTAATCGATTTAGAATATCGCTTATTAATATTATTAGCGTAATAGCTAATAACGAATCGTTTTTTATTAGCGCCGCGTTTATTGAGCTTAAGACGATAGATTTATTTAAATTTATACTTAAGAAGTTAATACTTATTTATCGAGCGGTAGGAATCGAAAACGAATCTTCTATCGTTATTATAGATAACGATCTAGGTCTCGCTCTCGTCTTAAAATCGATCTATCCTTAGTCGCGTCACTTTCTATATATCTAGTATATAAATAGAGTAGTATAAGTATAGGTAAAGCGCTATTTTAGAGAGCTCTATTTACGCTATTAATCTCGCGAGGAAATTAAAGCTAAAAGAGATCGAATATAAGAAAAATAGCTTAATTTTAATAGATACTAGTAGACTATAATATTTATAAAGATACCTCTAGACTATATACTTAATTAGAATACGCTTCGACTAAAGTTTAAAGAGAAGAATAAATCTCTTATCGACTATCTCTAGTATATCTAGTTTCTAAGAAAAGAGCTATTTATAAGAGTCTATATCGACGAATTTTAGTACTTTAGTAACGTAATAATCTCGCGACTAGAGGTAATATATCGAGCGTTAAAGAGACGCCTAAAATCGACGTAATTCGACGTCTCTATTATCGTTAACGCTCTCGAGAGATCGATTCGAGATAGCTATCTTAAGAGTCGGTATAACTTAGATATAGATCGAGTAAATCGACGCTCTTAATTCGGCTCTCGTTTATAGTCTTAAGTTATTAGTTACGTCTTATTTTATACTCTATCTCTAGTTCGTAAAGCTATACTTAAAATAGGCGTCGATAAGGTTACGCCTATCTTAGGATAGATTAGAAACTTTCGAGCCTACTCGGGCGTTTTTACGCGTATTTACGGCCTACCGTATTCTTATCTCGTTACGTAACTACTACGATAGGACGAAATCCTTAATCTCGACTACTTTACGCTTTACTAGAGACTTAATAGAATAGAAAACGTTAATAATATAAATCTCGCTAACGTAATATAGCTACTAATCGTTATCCCTTAATCTCGAGGCTTTAACGATATCTCGTAACGAGAGTTATCGTAGTTTAAACGCGTCGAGCGTAAACTAGATCTACGAAACTCGTTAAATCTCGTACTAGTATCTACTAGACGACTTTCTTCTACTCTAGGACTCTTCTAGCGATAATCTCCTCGTGTCACAGTTCTGACCCTTGTGGCGGCTGCCTATGACATGTGACGCAGTCCTGCCACGTGACCACGTGGATGACTTATCACTTAATTGAAGGCTTAGCGCGGCTTAGTAGATATCTACCTCGCGCACCCGCGTAACTCTCCTTAATAGCCTTCGTACTGTAATTCTATTAATTATACGCCTATTGCTCCTACTAGGTTCGTAATATCTTATAGTATCTATCTTATAACTTACTTAGCGTATCCGGTAGAGAAGCGTCGATAAGTTAACGCCCCGAAGTTTACGCCGTTAACTCGGAAGAACCGAAGTTTACTTATTAACTCGGTTATTATTATCGTACGAAGATCGACGCTACGAACTCTATAGTCGATAGAGGCGTAGATTTAGTAACGATATCTAACTATCTTTTATTTTATTCGTAAAATTTTACTCTTCGTAGAAATCGAGAGTAGTACTATAGTCGATAGAGGCGTAGATTTATCGAAGTTAACTCGAAGATTTTTATTTATATCTCTACTTCTACTTTTACTAACTTTCTATTTTAAGAACTACCTTTATTATAACGGATTAACCGCCTAATTAGTTATCCGATTAGTAATCTCCTCTAGCTCTAGGGCCTCTTAATATAGGAGATCTACTATCTCTACGCGCCTAACGTGCTTAGTTTAGAGCTAACGCACTTACTAACGCTCCGTCTTTAATCTCGTAATCCCTACGAAAACGCGGCCGTTCTCCGAATAAACTACGATTCTCTACTAAGAAAGACTAAGAGAAGACTACTAGTAATAAAAACTCTATCGATAATAATAATAAGGAGGACTCTTTATCTACGTCTATTCGCGAAATCTAAAGTACTTAAGATACTTATATAGAAATCTAGACTACTTCTTAGATAGTCGAACTATCTAATATCTCGTTACTATCGGTTAAGAAAGATAGCGAGTTTAATACTCGTTACGTATCTTCGACTAGAGAGATACTCGGATTTCTCTATAGTATTAACTAAGAAGGAGAAGATAGCGAAAATCGATAGAAAGAAGGTTCGAACGATTCTATAGAAGAGACTCCTTCTCTTAGTCGACGAATAGCTCCGAAGTCTTAATACCTAAGACGTAGATTCGATCTTATTTTTCTACTAGACTAGAATAAGGACGAACTAGGAAACGTATTTATAAGAAACTCGCTCTTAGATAAAGATCCTTAGAAAGATTATACTTTTAAGAATATTAACTAACTAGTATAATTTATTTAGTAATATATCTCTCTTATATTTACTATAATACGACGGGTAGTAAAATAGTTAGTATAGGTACGAGGGGAAGTAGAAGAATATTACTAGATATCTTAATAGTAGTAGAACCGTATAGTCGCGCTCGAACTATATATTAATAAGCTAATAGACTCTAATAAACGTATATAAGATACTTTAGATAAATATAAAGTTACTCTAATATCTCGAGATACTACTATTCGAGATTAATTTAAAGAAATTAACGTACTCGAACGATAACTAATAGAGGCTCGAGCTAGTATTAGGGCCCGATCTTCTATTTACTTCGTTAAACTAACGTCTCTATCTCTAGTATCTATACGAGCGTCCGTTAGACTATCGTATTAATAGTAGTAGAGATCGATTATCTCTAGCGAAGGACTAAATCCTACTCGTAATACGAATAATCTAACTATCCGCTTTTATATTTTAATAGTAGTAGATCTACCTAGAGGTCGACGGGATCGGTTCTCGACTAGATAAATCTACGGAACTAGAGTATCTATAGATACTAGTCGTTCTAAGATACTAGATTCTAATAAATTCGATAGTAAATTCGAGAATTACGATAAATAGAAGTTAAAAATACTTTATAAAATCTAGATAGATTACGACTTCTATTAGGATAAGAGATCGGAAGTCCTTATTAGTTATATTACTAGTAGGTGTATTAAGATAGTATTTAGTGCTCTTCGTCCTAAACTACTAGTCTTCGCTTATTAGTATAGAAACTAATTATACGCTAGCGATCGAGA